GTATTTTGTGGGCAAATGGCGGCAGCAATGTGTGCATTTGTGCACAGCAATGTCTCACATGAAGTGAATGACCAATTTTATCTAAAGGACTACAGGAGAAACTCCCTTTGATTATCAAGTACTACCATGAGACCTTTAATGTCCACCTGAATAGGTAGATGGGACTTCAGTTTAACATTTGAAGAATGCCACCTCCTACAATGCAATGCTCCCCCAGCACTTCATAGGAGTGTTGAGTGGACTTGAGTTTAAATTCCTGATGAGGGACTTGATAACATTCTGACCTACGACCTTCTGACTGAGAGACCGGAGGGCCACCAACTGAGCCAGACCGACGCACTTATATTACATATCATGTGATACCATTCGTATGCTCAACATTGCATGCATATAGCATATCGGAATCCTGTAGCTCAGTGGTTAGAGCACTCGCTTTGCAAGTGAGAGACCCGAGTTTAATTCTAGGCAGAGCGAAACCTTGGGCAAGTCACGCCTAATAATAATCCCTCCAAAACAAAACAATAATAAATTGGTCATTTTCAATCTACGATTGTTTGTGGGACATTGCTGTGCGCAATTGGCTGCCGCGTTCGCCCACAAATATACAGTCAATTCACTTTACAGTGTGTTCTGTGAAGCGCTTTGGGACGTCCTCCCGATGTGAAAAGCGCTACATCAAATGCAAGGATTATTATTGTTATTATTATTATTATTATGTTGTTCTATGTATAGAATGTTAGCACAAAACCAAAGCAGCAACATCTGCATGATTTTTTATTGTACTAAAAAAGTTTTATTATTTCCGAATCCACCTATACCCTAGTGAACTCGTTCGGCTTTTTTTTAACCTCTGCCTCCAACAGTGCCCACACCCAAAAAGTACCCCTACATCAATTTATATCCAAATATACAATAATAGCTTCAGTAGCATTCAAAAAAGCTATGCAGTCTGGCTATAAAAAGTAAAAGGAGAATTCTGAGGTGTCCCACAATCATTCTCACTGCTGTAACTCAGTACCAGAGTTTTATTAATGCTGATGTATCTCTTAGTTGAGTCGATCTATCCATTACCCCAGTGTACATCAATAAAAATTTGAATTTGATCCAGCTAGGTCACAATGATCAAATGGAAATTGAATCAATTTTCTGACCAAAAGTGCTGCTGATTAGATGAAGGTCCCACATGTTTGCAGTATTTCTTGCTTGTGATTTCTTTTTTTTTAAAAATGTACATTTATGCGATTCTTGGTCAAAGCAATATGAACACAATGTACTGCAGACGTTTATTTTTAGATTGTGAAGAGCTCTCCAAACAAATTAGTTATTAAAACTGGGCATCACAAGGCCAGCAATGTCCCAAGTTGAATCTTTGATTTATACTGAGTTAGTTGATATTAGGAAAGGCAGCAGTTGAAATTATATCTTAGGGAGAGAAAATATTCAGCAAATATTCTTATTCCTGATTAGTATTCAATGAAAATGGATTATGCAGAGAACAAGGCGAAACTTAGCTTAATGCCCTCCACACAGATTTTTATAAAAAGAGAAAACAGTATATAAACGATAATAATTATTTTACCTTTCTAACATTTAAAGAGCCACTGATTATGAAGCTTTATTTTAAGTAAGTCAAACATGCTGTAAATTAAAGTTAACCAAAGATATAACCTGCATTCATGGTTTCTATTGTTCATTGTTAATGATCTACTTTGAATGTAAGCAAACTTTATATTCACTAATCATATCAAATTACAGATCTCATATCCTGTCTCTGAACACATTTATTTGAAAAAAGTAGATGAAAAATCGATTCTGTTAAGCAAATACCATGAGTTATTTTGATATTCAGTACTACTGACAAACTTTGATCACTAACTAATCTTGCCAAGGTCTTGATGATAACAATTATCAAGATTTCTCATTCATTGATATATTAATAAACTATAAAAGTAAATTAAATTAATTTAGTTGCAGAATAAGGACACTCCATTTCATTGACTTCATTGAAACCTTGTTTTACGTTATCTTGTTGACATAAACAACAGTTCAGACTGCTTACTCAATGAAAATAATCAGTATAAACATTGCTGTTAAATTCACACTTGATGCATTAAAAACCTATCACAAGATCATTTGGATGAATAGAAGAACTGTAGTAATGTGACACTTACTGAACTAAGACTGTTACAAAACAACATTGACGTTGAAGGCTACTTTAAGTAGAAGTTGATTATGGAGATAACGATTTGCACATATTCTGTTCTAAAATATCACTGGGTGATATAACCATAGTTCATAAGGTTCATTAATATTATTTTTCAGTAGTTTATTTTTGTTTTCTTTCTCCCTTCCCTTTTAGGTGCTCGTGTATTATATATTACTCCCTAACATGGCACTAAATTCAATTAGACAACACAATTAAAAAAGTGTTTTGCAATGTAAGTATGTCTTTATTTTGTGATGTCTCCACACACAGAACCAGAGAGAGACACACATTCCAATTCATAGACACACACTCATAGACACATTCTCAGAGAGAGTCACACATACACAGAGGGAAATACACATTCACACAGACACTCAAACACACACACGCACATTTAGAAGAGACATACACACTCAGAGACACAGAGAGAGACACACACTCAGAGACACAGAGAGAGACACACACTCAGAGACACAGAGAGAGACACACACTCAGAGACACAGAGAGACACACAGTCAGAGACACAGAGAGAGACACAGACTCAGAGACACACAGAGAGACACAGACTCAGAGACACACAGAGAGACACAGACTCAGAGACACAGAGAGAGACACAGACTCAGAGACACACAGAGAGACACAGACTCGGAGACACAGAGAGACACACAGTCAGAGACACAGAGAGAGACACAGACTCAGAGACACAGAGAGACACACAGTCAGAGACACAGAGAGAGACACAGACTCAGAGACACACAGAGAGACACAGACTCAGAGACACACAGAGAGACACAGACTCGGAGACACAGACTCAGAGACACAGACTCAGAGACACAGACTCAGAGACACACACTCAGAAGCACATACATACAGAGGAGAGAGATACAGGTGAACTCGCACAGACACAGACACCCGCAACAGTGGGACCACACAATGGTACGAAGCCAATTTCCCGCTTGCGCGTCCGGGGTCGCTCCGCCCACAGTGACGTCAGCTAACCAGCGGGGCAGCGGTTGCTTCTACCCGGTCCGCTTTTCGCTTTGCCAACCGTTGCGGGGTCGTTCCACCCAGGTCCGCTCCGCGCCTTTGACCTGTATCGCCTCGCTGCCTGGTCTCTCGCAGGTCCGTCGCGCTGCACCGCTCAGCCCCGCCCACAATGAGGTCAGGTACACGAACAGCCGGGGGGGGGGGGGGTGCAGAAACTTCACGTTTAGCGGGTTTATAGCGTGTTCCGCAGAAAAATTGCGGCCGCACCTTTCTGTTGGCCCAGATGATCAGGAACAGGATTGATGAGAACCAGTTACAATGCATAAAGTTTCATAAACTGAAAGAGCAAAGCTCAACCACTGCATAACTCATGCAATCCTGAAATGAGATGACTGCCTTGAACCCTTCCCAGAATCCCGTGTATTTCCCCCTATTAATACAGTCGTTTTGGGAACAGGTTTATTTGATCTCTGATTGTTTTTCTTTGCCTGGAGTGGGTGTATCATCTTTTCCTGTAATGGGTATTACTGTAGGTATCTTTGCCTGGATGTTATTGCAGGTGTCAGTGAACTAAATGTTTTGTGCAGTTTATTACACATTATTAGTGATAGAAATCACCAGGAAGGGATGCCCGCTGAAACCATGCACAGTATATGGGAAATCAGGAAATTTCCCAAGCGCCGACTGTGAATGAATGGCTGAATACCTGCTACCCCCACGCAGCCGAGTTCAGAAGTTCCATTTAAGCCCCACAAAGTTTTTAAACGTGCAGATGCTTTATGCTTTGTTGGCGCCCCTCACGATTCGGCAACCCCCTGTTTTACTTGACAATCCCGAGTGCTTTTCGGGAGCCAGTGGAAGCTGAAAAGGTTGTTTGTTTCAAGATTTCTGCTGGAAAATGATACCTCGGGATACAGTATATAGTTTGGGGCACGACATGTCAAGCGACTGCCAGGATGGTGGAAGGCGAACTAGACGGACCTCGGTTTTCTTTCCCCGAGCAAATTCTAATGGTCTTATGGAGTGACTGTGTATATTGTGGGCAAAATAGGGTAGACAGTTGCACACAACGTCCCACAAACAGCCTTTGAAGTGAGAGACCAATTTTATTGGTGGTGGTGGGTGGGGTGGGGGTGAGGGGGGGGGGTTGTTGGCCAGAATGTATGAGTGAGTGATGGCTATTACGTTTCACCTTCCACATCACATGAGTCAAATGACTAAAACAAATTCCAGAGATATAAATAAGCGCGACTTGGTATAAATCCAGCAGTTTACCAGAACTTTCTGTGACTCGGGACATCAAACAAACAGCAAGTCGGTCCGAGGGAACGGGCTTCGTTCGGGTAACGAGGCGGCGAGCGAAGCGGTTAAGATGACTTGGCGTGACTTAATGACTTAACTCTTCGCGAGCGGCGGCGGCGGCGACGACGGGTGTGGGGGGGGGGGGATCCTAACGGAAAGGAGCCAGGAACGGGCTGGAAGGAGTCTCGAGGTCGCGGCGCCGGGGCAGGTTTCACCGTTCGGCTGTGAAGGGTTTCGCTGATCGCTGAGTGAGATCAGGCGGCGGACAGCGGTTTGAGTGACTGTTTGGGATGAGATGGGACGGGTCGCGCGCTGAAGCCGTTTGAGGTCGCGCGCCGGGCTCGAGGGAGAAGGGAGGCGAGCGAGCGCGCGGCCCGGTCTGTTCAGAGACCGACACACACACACACACGCGCGCGCGCGCGCGCACACACACACACACACGTTTACTGGGGACGGGCCACTTCGAGAGCGGAGCAGCATTTGCTCCTTGGGCTGAACCACAAAGATGGAAGAGGCGGCGGCGGCGGCAACGGCGGCAACGGCGACTACCGCGACCGCGGCTGCTGTGCGCACAAAAGTGGCCGAAAGAGACGCTCTGTATCGGAGACCCGTTACGGTCGGAGACCTGAACTAAGCGAAAACCCACCGATGGAGGTGGAACTTGTGCTGAAGAAATCCGACCGCGACGCCGACCGGGCGCTGCTGCAGTTGGACGCGGGTACGATGAGGCGCGGGTCCGACGCGGGGGGCGGGGCGGCGGCTGCGAGCGCGAGCGGGTCCCAACGGCTGGATTTGGAACGTGGCGGCGGAGGCGTCGCGAGCTCCGGGTGTGACGGCGCCCGGCGGCGACCCGAGCCGCAGCCGTCGGCGGAGGGCGCGCCACCGCCGCCCCCGCCACCGCCTCGCAAGCGGCCGCGCTCCCCCCAGCGAGTCAAACGCATGGACGTGCCGCTGCTCACGTACAGCGTCGGCGGCGCTCCGCGCGCCGCCCGCACGTGTCGCACTCCCCCGCGGGGCGCGGAGTCCGCCGACCCGACCCCCGCCGGTCAGACGCCGAGCTCGGACGCCGCGAGTGACGACCGTCGGGCCAAAAGGAAGGACGGGGAGGCCGAGGACGTGCCGGCGCGGCGCTCCGGAGCACTTCCCAGTACCCCCCGGGAGGTTCGTTGCCCGGTGAAATGCGAACCGCAGGTACTCTCCCACACCTTGAACGAACGTCTTTGCACTAAACCTGCGATGAGCAACAGCGGGCGGGCGAAAGTCAACGTCCCGAAGCTGGTGCTGGACTACATAACGCCCAGCATGAACCAGTACGGCCTGTGCTTCGTGGATGGCTTCCTGGGACCGAAGACCGGCGACAGGATTCTGCAGGAAGTTGTAGCTCTCCATCGCAGCGGCAGTTTCGAGGACGGTGAGCTGGCCAGCCAGAGGATCGGGACCGATCAACCGCACACCGCCCCAGCAGGCCCTTGCAAGAAAACTATTCGCGGAGATAAAATTATGTGGGTCCAGGGCAACGAGCCTGGGTGTGCGTCCATAGGACAGCTCTTGCAAAGAATGGATAAGCTTATAATGCACGCCGATGGCAATCTCGGGCACTACACGATCAGAGGAAGACACAAGGTCAGTAGTTACACTTTTAGCACCAGAAGACGAACCGCTGCAGACCAAAATTTCCACTTTCGTCGATAGTTTATGCTGCTTACATCCCCACCCCATCAAAAAGTTATTTTCGTTGTGATTCAATCTCTAACTTGTTATACACACGTCTTTGTTGGGTTTCACATGCATTAACATTTCAGATTTAATAGATAGATAGATAGATAGATAGATAGATAGATAGATAGATAGATAGATAGATAGATAGATAGATGCATACATAAATCTAGCCTGTGGAATGCTGCAATTATAAAGACTGCAATTATTATGAAGAGGCATAGAGTTGAGAAATTCCTCAGGTTACTAATGTGGTGACCATGTTGCAGTGTGTACCGTAATCAGAAATGTGGGGAATAACACTTAGCAAATAATTTAGAGTTACTTCCCATATTCCTTCGTTTCAAATTCCGCATCAGATGCCCAATGGAATAGGAAACCTACCAAGTGAGTAGCAGAGCTATACTGGTTCCAGATTCAGACTTAACTGATTAAAGACAGCAAAGCAGCTGGTATTAAAAATGTTCTTTTATTAAAGGCGTTCCAGAATGTGGTACATTGAACTATTAAAAAGACTTTGCATTTCTCTGGTGACTTATCAGATTGAAATGTTTCAAATCATTTCATAAGAAGTACTGTCAACTGTAGTGACTATTTGTGTAGACACTGTACTCCTTGGGGAGGGGGAAAGGTAAGTAGGGTCTCCTTGGAGCTGAACTGGCTACAAGGTTGACATGTTTGGCAATGGAGTGTCAGAATCGAGCCCACCCTGGTAGTCCAGTTTCTGAGCTGTGCGGGTCTGCAGGACATGCCTAGCCAGCCTGGCTCATCGGCAGGATTTGGAAGAGCAGACCAGTTACAGAGGGCAGGGACTCTTCCAACTCAGCTCCTGTTAACCCTGCAAGCCAAAATCCTAATAGGTTGGGTGGTCCTAGCAGGACAAGCAGAGTTAAAGCTTGCCGATCAGTGCTTTCAATGGCAAGCTATGCGGTTTTAGCTGGTTAGACTCCAACAGGACCTCAACACACACTCTGGGGTCCCCAAGCCTTGGCTCATTCAAACCTGTGCCTAATACTCTCTGGAGTTAGATAAGATGGATGTATCCCTCCAGAGAGAGTGCATTCCATACCAATAAATATCTTAGGAATTTCCATGCAAAGTTAGAATGCATGAAACTCTGTTTGGTTTGGGTACTCTTAACAGCAAGAAATTGCCTTTATATAGTGCCTTTCACGTCAGGATGATGTCCCAAGGTGTTGGACAGTTGAGGTTTACACCTGAGCTGGGGGTTTTTGGATTCAAGAGGGGTGGGAGAGCAAAGGATTTGGGGGTGGGTTCAATCAAAAAGGAAGGTCTTGAGATGAACTTTGAAGGAGGCAAGGTAGGGGCGAGGTCACATGAGCTAAATGACCAATTTATTCGGAGGCTTGTTGGCTATGACACCAAGAGAAACTTCTTTCTCTTTTCAAATAATGTCAGGAATCTTCAACATCGATATGGAAGATTAGTTTCACATCTAATTTTGAAACCTGTGACAATGAAGGACTCTAGTGCCGATTCAGGCAAGATTGTGACCATTTGAGTCAAGCTAACACTGAGAGGCCTGTAGCTTAATGATTAGAGCATTCGTTTTACAAACGAGAGGATTCCCGGGCAAGGGGAAATGTTGGCTGTTTATTACTCTAGCAATAAATTGGAACTCGGTTGTAAATCGATGGTGGATCACTTTTCTGGGGTTAATAATCCCTTCAAAAAAAATAATAATTTGGTCATTCAATCCATGACTGTTTGTGGGACACTGCTGTGTGCAATTGACTGCCGCTTTTCACCCACAAAATCTACAGTAAATTCACTTCACAGTATATTCTGTGAAGCGCTTTAGACGTCTTGAAGGCGCTATAAGGTGCTACATAATAATAATGCTTGCATTAGATATAGTGCCTGATCATGTCTTCGAGACCTCTCAAAGCACTTCACAGAATATACTGTAAAGTGAATCAAAGAATTATACAGCACGAGGCCATTCGGCTCATCGTACCTGTGCCGGCTCTTTGAAAAGAGCTATCCAATTCAATCCCATTCCCCTGCTCTCTCCCCAGAGCCCTGCAAACTTGTCCTCCCAATTGTCTGTATACTTTGAAGGCGAAATGTGGCAGCCAATTGCACACAGCAGTGTCCCACAAACAGTTATGGATTGAGTGACCAATTTTAAAAAAAGTTTCAAGGAATTATCACTCCCAGAAAAGTGATCTGCCAATTGATTAACAACCAGGTTCCTACTTACTGATAGGTAAACAAGACGTGAGGTTGTGCACATACAGCATTGCATAGCAGTGTCAGCCTAGATTGAGTTCATAGCCTTGACATGGAGCTTGAACTTTCTGACTCAGAAAAAGTGCTATCAACTACCAGCAAGGCTGACATGGAATCTTGCCTTGGTGTATTTTAAAATATTGTTCTGGATTAATTTTCTCTATCCTGTTAAGTATTTTAATATAAGGCCCAGCTCATTTTGCCATAACTTATGTAGTCATCTCATGCAATCCTATGTAGTTATGTAGTTATTATTTAAAGCTCATCTGCTTAACTGGAAGCTTCATTGTTCTCTGCACTGCTTCTACAACACCAAATTTACATTTATAGAGAAACTTTCACATTGGAAGCACAGCATGGTTCCTTCTGTCATAGAATCCAGAACACATCACACCTAATTTGAACAAATTGCGCATCTTTGTTGATGCAGTCAGGATTTTTAAGAGTCAGAACATATGAATAAAGGCATGTTTTTGAAATAAAAACAAAAACAATGCATACAGCTATTAATGTGATGGTGAAATAAAGTTGAATTCACAAAGTATGCTGAAACAGCTAACTTTGAACTAGCCTGATGTTTAATCACACATTTTCCAAATTCCAGGCATGTCGACAAGATTGTGGGATCGCACAACTTTGAATGCTACTACTGCTCTCTCTTTACAATGTAAAATTACAGATCTAGAAAAGCAGAAATCTGCACTGAAAGTACAGGAGATCTAGAATTTTTTTTACTGAACTAACTAGTTCAAAATAAGACCTAGAATATTAGCATTTGAATCAAATTGTTACAATACTATATAATAAAATATAATACATTGAACTCTACAGTCGTATAAGGAAACCTAGAATGTATTTACACAAGACGATGGATACTCACTCGCACAATACTCCGGGACACCTGTCTTTGCCAGGCTCCACTGGCGACCAATTACCGACTGGATCAATTTCAAGATCTCCTCGTTTTCAAATCCCTTTATGCCCTGGCACCTCCCTACCTATCTGATCTGCGGATCAATTTCAAGATCTACTCCTTTTCAAATCCCTTCATGCCCTGGCACCTCCCTACCTACCTGATCTGCTTATCCCCCACTCCACCACCCTCTGCCCCTGCTTGGCTGGCTCCATCCTCCTGTTTGTCCTTCGTCCCTTCTGCTCCACCTGGCCGTGCCTTCAGCCACTATGCCCCAAAACTCTGGAACTCTCCCTCCGTCCCTCAGGTTAGTCTGTGTGAAGGGCGCTATATAAATGCAAATTAATAATAATAATAATAATCCTTGCATTTGATATAGCGCTTTTCACGTCAGGAGGACGTCCCAAAGCGCTTCACAGAACACACTATAAAGTGGATTGACTGTATATTTGTGGGTGAACGCGGCAGCCAATTGCACACAGCAATGTCCCACAAACAGTCGTAGATTGAAAATGACCAATTTATTATTGTTTTTGGAGGGATTATTATTAGGCTCTGTGTGGAGTAAGGAAACTTGCCCAAGGTTTCGCCCTCTGCCTGGAATTGAACTCAGGTCTCTCGCTTGCAAAGCGAGTGCTCTAACCACTGAGCTCCACAAGTTGTTGTGAACCGGTAACGTGTCATGTTGTAACGTGAGTAGATGTTGCATATAACATTCTGACAAGTAATAGGACGATAGCCACTATCAGAAAATGTATGTGATTTCAATAGAATCATCTAAATACACTTGTAATAAATTACTTACTCTGTGTCATCAATGCAATGAGGACGCAACGTTTCTTGGAATACTTGTAACACCTGGAGAACACGTCATTAACTTAACGTATAATTAAGGTATACATTACATTAAGTTATAAACAAAGAATTAATTGCTTATACGAGCAGATGTCTAAGCGTGGGTGTGCGGCCGTTGATGTCATTGGTGTGATAAAATATAGGCATTTCTAAGTGAAGATCTGGAACAGTTTTTCCACATCCCAATTTGCACAACAGGTAGCATTTTAGCTTTTTGATAGCTATCCCTTATTTAATCGCAGAAGTTGGGGTTTTATTGCAAATTGATTACAGTGGTTACTCTTAAGACTTGTTCCGTGTCGCTCCCACGAGGGTTGGATGGTTTGTTTTTGACCGCGAGGGAGTGAAGTTGGGTTCATCGGGGACTCTTCTCCACGTGTTAACGTACAACTGAGCGGTGCAGCAGAATAACCAAACGACGGAAGGAAACCGGACGGGTTTATGACTTTGAAAGTTTACTGCAAACTTTGAAAGTAACAACACAGCGCTCGTACGTATGTGGGTTTAGACGGGAAAGGTCGGTTGTCAGATAACGATAACCGGGGGGTAGGGAGCGGTTTGAAAACCGCGGGAGGTGTGTGTGTGTGTTGTTAATATCGTGTGTTCCCCCCTTTTCCTAATCGGTTTGTATCTCCACCCGAGATACAAATCGATTTATTCTTGGAACGAGAGCGCAGAGCCGAACCTCCCGCACCCGCGAAGGTCCCGCACCGCGCGTACATGTGGTGCCGGGATTCCTCAATGGCGGCGGCTGTGGCCGCGCCCACCGGCACACACTGCACGTCGGCCCTGGCGGTGGGCGGTGGGGGTGTGTGTGTGTGTGTGGGGGGGGGGGGGGGTCTGGTCTGTTTGACTGGTGGTACCGCAGTCCGGAGTCAGACAGACACTGGAGACGGGGAGACCGCGCGAGGCCCTAAAATCAGCTGCGATACAAACACACACACACACACACACAGAGCACCTCCTCCCGAGCTGCGAGTTCACAACGTGAGGGGATCCCCACCGGAGCACTGCTGTGCTCTCAGCAGAAAGGCAGAAGCCGCCGCACGGCGTCGACCGTCCATTTGCGAATAACCGATTCCGGGTCCCTGGACGGGACGGGACGGGACGGGGGGTCCTGTTGTCGGGACATTAAAGATGTTTGTCGACCTTGAACGGATAGCACGAGAGCACGTGGTGCCGCGCCTGAGTGAATACGGTTGTTATTGCATCGACAACTTTTTGGGCAGTGCGGTGGGAGACTGCATTTACGGAGAAGCCTGTGATTTGCATTTTTCCGGACGTCTGCGGGATGGGCAGTTGTCCGGTCAGAGAAGAGGCGTTTCTAGAAGGCACCTGAGGGGCGATCAGATCGCTTGGGTCAGAGGGGCAGAGGATGGATGCAATGCCATCGGGATCCTCCTTTCGTTCCTCGATCGACTCGTAATGCTCTGCGGAGGGAAACTCGGACATTACAGCATAAAAGGCAGATCTCAGGTAAGTCAACTCCCACCACTTGTGCGTCCTCCTGCGGTTTTCCTTCGGCTTCTGCGACTTCGGGAGCGGATCCCCCACCGACGTCGCCCCCAAAACGGCGTGTGGTATCGATGCGGTTTTCTTCCTCGTGGCACAAGTTGTGCAACTGCTCGATTTTTTTAAAAAAAAAACGCAGTGATCAAACGACTTTTCTTTCGGAAAAAGGCAAAATTTTGAGTTCTGCGCCGCGGCTGTGATTTCACCGCGACTTTGGGTACCGCGGATTTAAACGGCCGCAAAACTTTGCTTTTGAGGTTCAACGACTGCAATTGAAAGATTCCTTTAAACTTCCTGCAACTCTGGTCGGTTCATGATTTAGATCTGATAATATTCACACAGGGCATCACACTGCCAGGTTTTGAGAACGAGTTGATCTATAACGGTGTAATTTGATATTCTTTACAAATAGTTTTGTTTATTTACAGTTGTTTTTCTTTGCTTTGCTTTGCTGACACCTCGGATTTGATAGCGAGTTAACACTACTGCGCAATTTTAAAAAGATAGTAATTGACAACTTGCCTTTGGAAGAAAAAGTTCTGATTCACAATGGCTTTAGATATTGTATATCTAAATGGACCAAAAACTTTGCTTTGAAGTTCCTTCACCATTCCTTTAAACTTCCTAAAGGATATGCAGCATTTTCTCTCTGGAGATTGTCCAGGATTAGAATTGGACAAACGTTTTCCCTATTTTCTAGGTATGTTACGTCGGAAAGAATTGTTGAATGAAGATTTTGAATATGTTCAATGAATATTAAAAGCAGATTTAATTAAATTTTCCCCACACTGATATATAACAGACTTGTAAAACGGTTGACCCTCCGTTGATTACCTCCTTCAAAAAAAGCCTATCCAGTTGTGAATAGAATTGAAGATAACAATTGTAGACTGAGATTAATAGGTATTCCTATTCCATGGGACATTGTGGTTCCTTTGTTGCTTGGGGTAAGGGGGAAAGAAAAGAATTGTCGTATGTGGAGAAAAGGAAGTCGAGAGTTTTTCCGTGATTATTTTTGGAGAGCAGCGAGAATCTGCAGAACCATTTCCCAGGAGATTGTGATGAGATGGAGTGCTCAATAAAGTAAGTTTTGAATGGCCGAAGAGACCTGCTGGGCTACATCCCCCTTTCACATTCCATAGTTTATGTAATTCAAAAAAAAAATTAATTTACGCAAAGTTTATAGTACTCTATATCTAGGTTAACCTATCCACGCTGGATTTCAGGACCATTGCTGTTCTGACTGACTGTTTGTCCAACGACAAGTTTCCTGCCTTTCGTGCCCTTTTAGAAACCGTATAGAATCACAGAAATGCACAAGACAGAGGAGGCTACTTGTCTCTTTTTTCGTCACCAAATCAAGAGTAATACTATTACTTTGCCTAGGTGCATGTCTTAAACCTCAAACTGAACTAAAACAACTTGCATTTATTTAGCGCCCTTCACATAGAATAATGTCTCAGAGGACTTCACAGTGATGCCCATGGGTGCTATGAAACAGATAGGCTTTAAAATAGGATTTGAAGATAGATAAGAAAGGTTGAGGTGGAGGGATAGAGTTCCAGATGTTGGGAGCATCATGACTGAGTTGGGCACCGTTGGATAAAGAAAATGGAAAGACCTCTATCCACATCAGTTTGGGGTATAGACCACTTGGTCAGAGAGACATGCTGTGTTCCAACCATTCTTCCAGACAACTAGAAGAGGTTTGAATAACATGTGTTTGTGCCACTTCATTACTGTACAATGGAGCAAATGATGGTTTATAATATATGTTACATTATTATCTTTGACTGATCCAGATTTTAAAAGGGATAAAGCATTCAACATATTAGGATTATTATATAGGATATATTATTATATTAAATAGGATTATTTTTTGTAGCCATGAAAAGGACGTAACTTGATAACCTAGATAGTGGAGTTTACATCAATACTACAATACTGTATTTCTATCTTGGATAATTCCAGGCAAAAAGCAGGGTCAAAACATGCTCTTGAATTCTTTGCTGATAATTGCACCTGTCTGTCCCACATACCACAAAATCTCCAAGACATCATGGACCATTGGGAGGTTAGGCAAAACAATATGCATTTACCAATTTGAAAAGAAAAATCAGTTTTGTACCAGCTATCCCTCATTAGTATTGCGGTCCAGGATTAAAAATCAACAAAATTCATTTGAATCCAGTGGAATATTTCAGTGTACCTTACAGTGATGCTATTGTACTTGTCTAGTTCTGCTTTTGGCAGATTAAGGAAACAAGTGTGGAATTAATATGACATCTGACCAAATAAATATGATTCGGTTGTGATTGGGTGGTGCCTCAGTTTGATCTTGTGAATCCATTGGCAATACAGGGTTAGCAGCAGCAAAGTCATGACCCGAGATTAGAAAACATTATTGTTAAAATGTCAACCGGCCTGTCCATGTGATGAGAATAACCGACTGAAGATGAACAAACATACAAACAAACAAGATCACAGACAAACAAGGTAACTGATACTTCAAAGTTATCTTGAAAACAAGACCTGGGAAGACTTCTTAAAATTTAAAGAGGATAATGGTACAATTGGGGGATTGTTTTCTATGGTTGTACTGGTATACTTGCTCTATAACTGGGAGTACTAATATACATTCCCCTATTATCTCTTGAAAACACTTTTGTATGATCATGAATAGATAAAACTGTCTATAATTGTATGACATAAATCTTTAGGAAGTGAGAAAAGTTTGAAAATTAATGAAAGGGTCTTTTAATATAATTGTACTCTTTAAATCACTGGGATTATTCTCTGCTTAGTAAATTCCCAGGAGCAGTAAATGATGAAATAGCAGACAACCTTCACATTTTCCATATTTTGCCTAGAAATTATGTAAGTACAAAGTCAACAAACTTTCTGTCTTATTCTGCAGAGTAACTTGTGCCGTTAGTTCTTAAAAAATGTTTAATATTACATCCATAGAGCCTCTGAAAATTAGTCCAAATAAAATCATTAAGTGTAATGAAAAGGCCAAATAAAGCAAAACCAAATGTTCTGTACAGACTGTTTAGCACAATCTGTGTTTTCAGTCTTACTTGTTTCAGGCTATTTTAGTAACATATTACACAGTTTAATATTGTCTGAATTCTCAAAAAAATATTTTAAGTTATGGTTATTCTTCAGACAATTAAGAGCTGTGTGCGTGACTGATATGTATGAACTGTATGTGATATTCACATGATGCTCACAGGAAGTCTAAAAGGAAATTGAAATGTTTAATCACTTTTAGTCCTCCCCCAAAACTTCCTACTGTAAAAGTCCATTAGGCAGGAAGGATGTAGTGCTAAAAGTTACAGAGCTCCCAGTTTTAGCTAACTAACTGTATGTTGTTTTTATTTAGGAAATGAAGTATTTCCAATTGCATCATTTAAAAGATGCGGTACATTGGGCATGAATTGTGGAGTGCTATTGATCAGAATCTTTTGCAAGTAGATTCTTGCAACAGTTCATCAGTGATGACAACCTGTAAAGTTATGTCGAGCTGGTATATTGTTAATATACTGGAACATTGATCACCAGTATTCGATTTTTCCTCTCGTTGTATTCTTCACGTCTCCCTTACTCAGCTCCCAGCTTTCTCTTCTGCTTGTTTTACTGACTCAGCTCTCAGCTGATGGGAGTAATTAACCATATCCTCTCAGTCTACAAGAAAGCTACCTATTTGTCTAAGTCTTCCTTTTTCATGAATCCCATTTTGTACCTCTTCCTCATGTCCCTTATGTTTTTATTTCTCGGGTATTTCTCCTGTTCTGTTTTGAATGATCCTATTGATACAGCCTCAACAGTCATTTTTGTTTATGAATTCCACCTTCTACCAACTATCTGAGTGAAGATGTTTTGTAACCTCTCCTACGAATTCTTATGCAAACAACTGAGATTGTGCATTAATTGTATCAATGCTGAAAATGTATACATTGGAATCAATTCAAATCTGAGCCCATAATATGCGGCCAATTCCAACATGCACAGAACTCCCCAATTTCCAGCAATATTGGTTTGTAGCAGATAAATATAAATCTGGTTTTCTACTCACAATTGCTCTACTGTTGGAAATTAACCCGAATAATTCCAGGAGAATAAAGAGGGCATAGATTATTTTTGAAGTTCGCAAAAATATTATTTTTTAACTGGAATGTGTCTTATTACAATAATTTAAAGCACTGCAACTTTTGCAAAAGGTTGGGTAACATGAAATTCAAGAGAAGAAACAGTTCCAACAAGATATAAATGTCCATGTGATAGAAACATGAATAATATCAGTAATTCATTAAAAAAATGAGTTTGGAACAAACTGAATCAGCCTTTTTGCAGTGCTCCCGAGATGTGATGCAGCATGAAGGGCACTGTATAAATGCAAGTTGTTGTTTTTCAATTTAATTTGTACCATAAATGATGTGTCAAGACACACAGCTTATTTTTAGTAATTGCAAATAGTGGAGCTGATGGTATCTTTAGAAGTTGAATTATAAACAAGAGTAAAAGTTTGTTTTGACTGCCTGCCCAAACGGAAGTAATGGAAAACCATTATTTTTTCCACATAACGTACAATATGTAAACATCACACCCTGAGAAAACAGAATAAATGAGTTGTTCTCGTGTCTGAATATTTTTCCTCTCTTTGAGTACGATCTCTTCATGGTGTGACAAAAGGAAAAAGAGGCAATTGTTTTTAAGTCAAATTGAATCCATAACAATAGAACGTGTTACTGTAACTTGTTTTTATACAGATTGTTTTTATACAGTAATGCTGTTTGTAAATGACTTCATTGACAGTACAAGCCTTCTGCTTAGTTTGGGTGAACTGTGATGAGAAGGAGAAACTCTTGTATTTATTTCAAGGCTATGAAATATACTATTTATATGAAATTACCCTACCCACATAGTCTGATGCATTGTTGTTTGAAATATACAAAGCAAAGTGCTTTGAGACATCTTGTAGATGTGATAATGTGCTGGAACAAATGCAAGGATTATTATTATTACTACTGCTTCAGCTAGCAAATATAGTGTATTTCATGTAGAATAAATATCTTGAAAGGCAAAACAATTCTAAAGTTGAAATCTTGATACTTAATTTTGAACCCCTGTATAACATTTTAAGACATTTAGTGGAATGGAATTTTCCCGCTTTCCAAGAATTGTATTCAAGTGAGTACAGGTAAATTGGACTTTTTTTTCCTAAACCATTTGACTTCCAAAACATGTACTGTAATGCCACATTCTTACTTCCCAAAAAGCTTCTACTCCACATTTTGTACTTTTCAGAAAGGCTGAAAGAGAAACGCCCATATACACAATTTGTGATGCATTCATCTGTCATCATCTTTTAAAAGCCCTTCATTGTTCTTAAACCTATTAATTAAATTGCCTGGGCTATTCATGTACTGTATCTGGAAACAACACATTCTAAGTTGCTTTTGTTTGTGTTTTCTCATGCTACTCATCCTTGCATTTGATATAGTGCCTTTCACTTTGATATAATGCTCTTCATGGGATTTGCTGTAAAGTGGAATGATTGTGTATTCTTAGGTGAATCTGGCAGCCAATTTTGCGCATGACAATGTCGCACAAATTTCCATGAAGTGTTAGATATCAAAAAGGTCACCCAGCATTCCGTTTAGGTAAAATCTGTTGAGCCAACTTTATTCAAACAAAAGTACCATTGAAGCGCGCTTATTTCAGCAGTCAACCATCAACGCCGCTAGACCGAGTGCTGTGAGTCCGGAACAGGGTTCTTTCTTAGTTGCTTCAGTTATTCAGGCTTTCGATCTTCCATCACCGTCTGTTGGCGCTGTTCCGGACTGCTTCCCACTTCTCTTTTTTGGCTACTATAGTCAGTCGCCTGACTTGCCATTACATCCCTTATTTACATATCCAATCACTTCGTATTTTACCTAGCCTTATTCGGTGGTTTGTCGACCAACCGCCTCATCCTTTCTAGGACCCCTCTACCCACTTCTGATACAGTCAGGTACTCAGGTTAATCAATCATTTGGCTTGGTGCCAGCCTGACTGAGTCTCCACGAGGTCTTCCCTTTTTCCTGTCTAAGATAGAGGATTGATCAGTTTAGGGCTGTATCTGGTGCTTGTTATTTTGTTATGTGGGATCATTAGTACATTCCTTTTAAGTGACTGGTTATTTCTTATCAGTATCCCGGGATGGTACCAAGGTCCTCTAGTTTAAGCAACTTGCTCATTAGTTGCTATTCTTGAGGGTTGCCTTCTGTCGCTTGGCAGACCCTGTCAGAATCTAGCGACTTATTGCTAAGTTGAGATCCTGTGTCGACCGGTACCTTGAACCGTTACCTCTGCGGACTTGTTGTCATTTACTGATAAGAGGTGACCCCCTGCCCTTTTCCAAAGCTGTCCTGTTATTCTTTCAAAAACAGAGAAAACCAGATATGTCCTATCCCATGACTGTCAGTACTTTCTCCATTCTACATTTGTTTAATGTTTATTATTATTAGACTACAATTTCTATAATCTAACAGAAGTAAATAGCTAATTTTTATTTGTAGGTTAGGCCACCTGGATAAACTCCCTTCTCTTTTTGAAAGTACTTCAATGTCCACCTACCTGAACAGGTAGATGGGACCCTGGTTTAATGTCTCACCTGAATGACGATACCCTCCCAACAATGCAGCACAATCCAGTGTTGCATTGGAGTAGATAGCCCTAGTCTAATGAGTTCCAAGTCTCGATGTGGGGCTTGGAACGCACAACCTTCTGAACCAGAGTTGAGTGTTGCTGACTACACTGGGTTGACAGCCACATCTCTATTTGTAACTCTTTTCTAATTACCCACATAGTCTCACAGACACACACACCAACCTTCACAGAATAGGGTATATGTGGAACATATTCCCAGCAAAAACAGTTGATGTTATGTTGATTATCTCCTTCAAAAGTTATTTGCTCAAGATTGTCCTAAGCTCAACCGGGGTACTTGTCATGTTCGCTCTTTGCTGAGAGTCGATGGCCATGGTGTCATTGAGTATTTGTTTGACATTAGGGATAAAATGAAAAAAAATCACTTTGGCTGATAAATTGGCTGATAATGGCTCAAGAACATTATTAGAAGATTTAGGAATAGGTACAAACTGAGGTTATGCTTTGATTAATACAATTCAGGTAGTGCGTGCATATAAATCTTTACCTAATAAATGCACAGATAGGGTCAAGTGGATGATGATAGTTTTATGTTGAGGAACAGACAAGATATTGTATACTTAAAAAGGATATTTTTGCAACTGAATCAGTGTTGATTACTGTATTTGATTGGAAGTAAAGTTCTGATCACTACTGTAAGCTGTATATACTAAACCACCCACCATACTAAAAACTCTTTATTTGTAGCTGGCTAGGCGAAACACACACACATACAAAAATTATAAAACCATCCTATTTTTGAGCTGGCATTTAGAAAACAATTGTTTGGATATCCTTCATTCGGAATGACATATTATACTTCCAAAAAGATTGGTGTAATTTAGAAGGATGTACAGTGGGATATTGTTGGCATGTTCAGGAAATGAACTGTTTCTAAAATTTATGATAAGACTCTGGAAAATTGATTAAAAACATGTGTGCGTACTCTGCGTATAGACTGGTTCGGGGAAAGAGGTGTGGAAAGTGGATATCTTTTTAATCCTAAAGGATGAGGCTTTTTAACAAAAAAACATTGAACTAATCTCATAATTTTCACTGTTTTGTTTGTTTGTACTACACTATCTACTGTGGCTTTGATTGTCGTGTTTGGTCGAACTGACTGATCACGCCTTGCACGTAGCACAGACATTAAACTATCATTCCGTTGGCAAGGAGCCAGATCTTACCAGAAGCAACTATTCCACTCCCAAATGTAACCCAATCACGAACAGGAAGAAAATATACAGTACAAACCTCATTTGTTCCTGATTCTGTTCCAAAGACATATCATAAGTACATTGAATTAAATAAAGATTTAAAGATGTGTGTTGCAATGGTGTTTTTAAAGGATTTGCTGCTAAGCAGTGTACAGACTGTCCTTAGGCTAAACGGGCTGCCATCCAATACTGATTACAGCTTGTTGTTAGGCTACAAAGTGCAGTTTCTCTGTTAAGAGTGAGGTTTGTTTACAATATTGATTTATAATTTATATAGGTTCTAATTCTAACCTAAGAAGGATAGTGGCTCAAAATGTATCTCTTGTACCTCTTGCTTTCCCCTCTCCACTCCCTTTGGCTCCCAACCCCAGCTTGGGTGCCCGCTAGCAGTATAAAGCGCTTTAAGACACTCCCGATACAAAAGGAGCTATAATAATGTAATAATAATAATAATCGTCGCATTTGATATCGCGCTTTTCACGTCGGATGGCCGTCCCAAAGCGCTTCACAGAACACACTGTAAAGTGAACTGACTGTATATTTGTGGGTGAACGCGGCAGCCAATTGCACACAGCAATGTCCCACAAACAGTCGTAGATTGAAAATGACCAATTTATTATTGTTTTTGGTTTTGGAGGGATTATTATTAGGCTCTGTGTGGAGTAAGGAAACTTGCCCAAGGTTTCGCCCTGCCTGGAATTGAACTCGGGTCTCTTGCTTGCAAAGCGAGTGCTCTAACCACTGAGCTACAGGACTTCAGGACTCAATAAACTCCAGGATACAAACTCCATATCTGATTAAAGATAGTTGTATTACCACTATTATAAATATGCTTGTATTTGATATTGTACCTTTCACTTTAGGACAACGTCTCACAGTATTTCATAGGATGTATGGTAAAGGGTAGTGAGTTATTTTGTAGGTGAATGCGGCAGTCAATTTGAGCCAGGCAGTGTTCTACAAACAGACACTTCATTTTATTCCTTGGGTGCAGTGGAGGCAAGTGGGATCTCCTTGGAACTGAGCAATCAGTCTGTCTCATCAGCAGGACCAAGATTATTTTGTTGCACCAATGAACCCTTGGTGGCTTTTTAAAATGGAAAACAATACTTCTGATTGAGAATTTATTCAATAATTTTACCTGAGCAACCATTTTTCTTCATGAATATTAGTTTGAGCATTTAAAAATTATTGCAAGTCTAACTTAGTAGCAAAATACAATTTAATAATAACCAAGTTGCTTACCCTGACAGCCAAAATCTGTTATTACCCACTTTGCCTCAGTAATTGTTCACCTTATTTCAAGTGAATTATGGATTACGGATTAATATTGAGAACAGTATGAAACTAATGACTTATTTCGACTGAAAATGAAGTAACCAGTATAATTTTGTTTTCTTCATAGGCTATGGTAGCTTGTTATCCAGGGAATGGAACAGGTTACGTTCGGCACGTTGACAACCCAACTGGTGATGGACGCTGTGTCACCTGCATTTATTATCTAAATAAAAACTGGAATGCAAAGGTATGTACCATTTCTTCCTCTTCAAGAGTTTTTTTTAGAGACTCATGCATTCATGGATTTACTATACTTGCATCTTTTTTGTGTATTTTAGTACAACAAAAACTTGCATTTATATAGCACCCTTCATGTGGGGTAGTTTCTCAGAGCAATGAACAACGGTGTGGAGCTTGACGCCAAGGCGGGCACAGAGCGGAGGGACATCATTTCACGTCAGAAGTACATCCCATGGAGCTGGATAGTCAAGAGTTTAATCTTAATTAGTTTTAGTCTGTGGTTACTTATCTTCAGAATAATGGCATTTATGGGAAATAGCAGCAAATGGTATATGGCAACATTTATCGCATTAAAATTCACTGCTTTCTCCTTCCACATCAGCTAATTCTTTAGTTATAGTAATACTTTGTAAATTACCCGTTTTCAGGTCGATGGTGGCGTTCTTCGAATATTTCCAGAAGGAAAGACCTACGTAGTGGATGTTGAGCCAATATTTGATAGACTGTTGTTATTCTGGTCTGATCGAAGAAATCCACATGAAGTACAACCAGCTTACTCCACTAGGTATTATCCGTGTTTGAATGGTTCAGAGCAGCTTGAGAGGATGCAGACCTTTATTTGTTTTTTTATTGCAATATTCTACTTCTTCTGAGAGTACTGACATATGGGTATAGATTTACTGACGTGACCGTTCTCCAGTATCTTGCCCAAGTGGTCATTTTTCATTTGTGAGCCTAGACATTGGGTCAAGCCCTTAACAGTTATAACCAAGCCCCTCCCTCAGATGACATTCCTATTCTTTTCAGCAGGAATCACTTGACAATCACGCAGAGGAACTGTGGCTAACCTTCCCTCCCTTCCCTTTAAGCAACTTCAGCTAATTCTTTACAGACTAGATCAAAGCAAGGACTTTTCTGATCTTATTTTACAGTTCTAAAGGAGCATTATAGAATCATAAAAATCTAGCTGATGTAAGTTAGGACCAGTGGATACTGGGAGATGGCTGTAGTTTTGCATACTGTCTGTGGGTAGGCCGCTATAATTTAAAATACATTTTATTTTATTTTGTTGAGAGGATAAGGGGAAAACTATAAAGGGCCACACTTGCTCATAGTAATTGAACTTATTAATATGGAAGGATGATTGATACTTTGATTCCTGAAGAATATTTTTTATTTTCTAGGTATGCCATAACTGTGTGGTACTTTGATGCAGAAGAGAGGGCTGAAGCCAGAAATAGATATCAAGCAGGTATACTCTATCCTTACTTAGACTGATATTATCCATAATGTTTTCAACCAGCTTCCGTTACTCATTTTTTCTTCATTTTTTCCCCTCTAGCTTCAGGGCAAGCTTCAAGTTTTACCCCATGACTGCAGGCATGTGGAACTTGACCAATCAGTTATGGCCTCTAAATGATGTACATCACATTAACTTTTCATCAGCTCCAAAGACAAATATCCATCCACAATAACCCCAATTTTGTGTTGTGTTCCTGAATGATAATTCTGTTTGTTACACTCTTGCTTGTCCACATTGTAGAGATGGTACTGGCTGCTGCTTAGCATTGTTTTCAGTGAACAATATTCAGCAGAATTGATCTGCAATCCCAGATTGTACAAAATAATATGCCGTCCTAGGTTATACTTTTATAGGTTATACTTGCGTAAAATCTGAATCAGTTTACATTTTTATAGCAAGTGTGATGAGATGTGTTAAATATTATGACCATTTAAAATAATTGGGTCTAATATTGCACTTTATAACCTTCCAGGTTAAAAATGACGAATTCCAACAGAACAGTTTGATTTCTTTTTTCTAATATTTAAATTAGTTAATTGGATATTCTATTTATGGCATTTGTTTTCTATCTTCCATCATTAAAGATGTTTAATCATCAGACTTATTGATTGTAATTAAGGGTATTTCTTCCACATTTCTGTACCATGTAAAAGTAACAGATATGCTAGCTTTATCAGATTTTTGTCTTTGTGATATTTATCTTGATAGGTCTAACCTATTGTATACATTGATCCTGCAAAACTCCCATTATTTCTTTTAATTGTTTTTACTAATCGCTTAACTGCATAGTGACTTATTTCAGTAAATCTATTTTTGTTGTACTTCAATGGCAAGGAATAGTCCCTCTGGTTTGTAAATATTTTCTGGTTAACTATATTAAACTTAACTGTTTAAGGGAGAAAGAATGCAAAATATTACAATGTGAGATCCTTTTATCACTGCCTTTTGCAGTAGAGTTACAATAAGAATTCTTGAAATAACTAAAACATGATATCGGTAACAAAAATACATGTTTACAGCTGGATGCCACATTGTATGCTGGTCAACAATTTGGCAATTCAGCAGTGGTTATCGATGAATATATCAGAAGTTGAGAGTTTGGCAACTTCAGAATAGTGTCTGTACAATTTGCTGTGTTCAGATAATAAAATGGTCCCAAGAATTGGGATTGACATACAGTTTTACACAAACATGTTTATGTATGTGCATTTTTTCCGTCTATTTTTCATCTATTTTCACATAATTAAATGAATTGAAGTTTCCATAGATTTTAGCATGAAATTGGAAGATAAGTAAATTCTTAACATTCCATTTATGCATCAGAAGGTCACTCCATTTTGAAATTCTTTTTGGTTCCCTATATCTAATTTCTTAAAAATTTATGTTGATTTTATACAGTGCTTATGTGCTGGGTAGTGCTTAGTTTATGATTTATCATAATACGAATTGATATGCAACAAAAACAGGTATGAGATATTCATCAAGATAAACTACCATTTTTGTCTGTATTACAATGAAGATTTGCACCAAACCCATATGATGTATTTTCATGGTTCTATTTATACTTGTCTCAATGCCATCACTACATCTAAATGGCTTATCCCATTCTGAACAGTAATCTCCACTGTAGACCTGTGATCTATTCTCCTTCTATGTGTAACCTTGAGACTTCATCCAGAATCATGGGGTTAGCTTCTATGCACCCGTTGACACCCCTCCACCACAACAGCATTCATATATATAGCTTATCTTATTCATAAGATAAGAACTTCTTATGTAAAATAATCTTGATTAACTTTGAGTTGAACAAAATAAAATGGATTTGAAAGTAAGTGAATGCGTATGTGAAGCAGAAGGGAATAGAGGGAGAGATTAGGAAGATTGGAGTAATAACACTTGCACTGACTAGTTAAGCCAAATGCACAGGTTTTGTGCAGTACAGCTTTATGTAATTTTATGAATGTTATTTAGGTGTTATCCTCAATTCCAGCACTGTAGCTGATCTGACTGCAAGCGTAGCATCAATTCCTGTATGAGTCACATTTCTGTGGCTAAATGCCAATAAGACTGAATCCATTATGTGTGTTTCTAACCAACACCTTCTGCGCCTTCTAATATGATTTCAATCAACCTTTCAGACTGCTCACTTAGCTTGAAACAGGTGTTTACGCAACTTTGGTGTTCCTGACTCGGCCATATTATGTTCATTGCCAAGATTGACATTTTCCTCTGCCAGAATGTTGTCTACATAACATCTCCCTCCAATGACTACTGAAACCCTTTGATTTTATCACTGTTCTCCTTGTCGAGTTCCTTCCCTCTCCAGAAGCTTAAACTCATTGATCCAGGAAAATGCAACGTGAGTTCTCTCCTGCATGAAGTTCTGCACACCTATTCCACAGCATCCTCGCTTGGCTCCATGGGCTCTCAGGACTTACGTGGAATTAAATGACCACAGCCCCATCTGACTCAAATAGATGATTAATCCATAACACTATCAGGATTATGCATAAAGAATGAGATGAATAAATTATTAGTATATTTATCCATGAGGGACAAGAGGAATGTTTAAATTTTAATTTAGCATGTCAACCCAAATCAGTCAGTCAAGCATTCATACGTGGACAAACTGTGTCAGGACTCAGACTCATACTCTGGGAGTCCTGCAGCTCAGTGGTTAGAGCACTCGCCTTGCAAGCGAGACACCTGGGTTCAATTCCAGGAAGGTGAAACATGGGTAAGTTTCCTTATTCCAAGTTTCCTTACTCCACACGCTTAATAATCTTCCAAAACAAAACAATAAATTGTTCATTTTCAATCCATGACTTTGTGGGACACTGCTGTGCGCAATTGGCTGTCTCGTTTCTCCCACAAATATACGGCCAATTCACTTTACAGCATATTCTGTGAAGCGCTTTGAGACGTCTAGAAGACGTGAAAAGCGCTATATCAAATGCAGGGATTATTATTATTATATTCTCCAGTGGGTGGTTCTGTCCTTTGGCTGAAATACACTGCAATCCCATCTGCCCTTCAGGTGCATGTTAAAGATCCCGAAAATGTTATTTGAAAAGAGATGGGAGTCTCTCCCAGTGTTCTGACCAACAAATTTCCAGATAAGTCATTCACATTATGGCTGTTTGCAGCATTTATGATTATTGAAAAACACAAATGCAGCTGCTAATGTGCACACAGCAATCACTAAACTTGACAACCTACATTTGAAGCACTTGTTGAGACTTTCAACATTATAAGTGCTATATCAAATGTGAGGATTATTATAAAACACTAAATATAAATTTATAAAATATTTTCTTCATATAAATGAAATCGAAACTGCACTTCATACAATTATGAGCATGGAGATCAAATACAGAATGAATTTCTACAAACCATGTTGCATTAGGTTTAAAACTGGATATTGTTTTTCAAATTCAGATGAATTGTCACCTCACAATTATATCAGACACATATCAATAGCCTTGCATAAATAGCTAAATCAAATAAATTGTGCTCTGTTCCTCACCATGTGAAGTGCCAAGTGCAAGCACAATGAATCCTTGTCATAATTACCTGGCAGATATTTGAGTTAACATTACAGCACTGCCAACCCCTAAGGTCATCCTTATAAACGAGGGGGCATCCATCATACTCAGAAACAACACAACAAATAATAATATGTCATGACTGGTGCAATGATGACTGCTCCAAAAGCTGCTAGGGTTACAGTACTACCAGCTCAAATTATGTCTCAAAATAAAATCACAATGGGCCATAACACATTCATTTCTTAATATTTACAAAAAGGTTGTATGTATACATAACATAATGGAGATCTATATAGTGTTTTATAACTTAAATACACATGAATTTTAACATTTTCTTTAGTGGAGCTGAAGAGCTAGCGTTGAGAACATCCTATTAAAATAACCTGTTTTACAAATGCCACAACTCCCTACAAAAACACTACTATCCAATACTCTGCTGGTTAACATTAATGGTTTCATCACTGGAGAATATGAGAATTTTTAAATTTTGATCTTTGATTTTGTCTTACACAGTTTTCTTTGCTAGTTATACTATAGAATTACTGGTTAATTTCGTGAAAATAAAATTAGTGCTCCTAAATAAAAATCAAACCTCATTTTGTGTTACAGTGTCTCCACCATGTGGCAAAAATGAATTGGTGCATAATCTAAAAAAATTATTGCTTATGTATAGATAAATTGACCTACTAATTCCAAATCAGAGAAAACCATGAGATAGTTAACATTTCCATTTCCTACAGCAGTTTAATTTTTGTCCGGTAATGACAAAGAGATACTTCCAAGATTCAGATATCTGAATATTGCATGTTTTTGGCCTTGACTTATGTGAAATGTGATAGGATTGGAAGACGAAAATGGATAACTGCACAGTTGAAAATATGACCATAACTCAAAATCTTCCTTGAGTTACCAAGGATCTGATAGTCTTTGTAGTCATGGCTATTCATTTCAACTCTTTTCTCACTTCCTCTCTCGTGCCCCCCCCCCCCCCCCCCCCCCCCCACCAGAAGGATATTGCTTTTCTCCCTTGGATGAGACAACCATATGGAATTAACTCTTTTCCAATTTTATATTTGCCTGGTTAATAATAATAATCCTTGCATTTGATACAGTGACTTATCACGTGATCGAAACATCTCAAAACACTTCACAGGATATGCTATAAAATTGTGTGTGTGACCATGTATTTTGTGAGCGATTCATAGAAAAGGCATAAATTGTTGGCTGTCTGCAGTTTATTTAAAGTTTATGCCCTCTTTATAGCAAGACTATTCCAAGATGAACATGCTATTAATAGGCTATTAAATGCCATTAAAAGTACATTAGTTCAGCATGCCTTTGCTGGTGTGTATGCCATGCAATTACCAACTGTACTCAGAAACCATTCAGGAAACAAACCTGCTGCATCCTCTTCCAAATGAGGGCTCTGCAGGTAGCATTTGGACAACATGTGGCTTTCCCTGTGCAATTATTTCCCTTTACCTGCCTCATCAATCAATGATCGTGTGAAACTGCTACATTAAGATCGTGCACAGGTTTTAATTATATGCTACATATGGACCACAACACTACACATGTACTTTGGAAAAATGTGGTCGTTGTGTATGCACAAGGGTAACTCAAATTTGGACGACACCACAGCTTAGTTCTCCTACCCACACTTATTTTTCATGCTTTTCAGCACATTTATCTTTACTTTCTTTACGACCACATTCTACTTAAATTCCTCTTGTAGCCAAACAAAATTTCTCCCACAAAATTAACAGTATATTTCTGTGAAGCTCTTTGAGACTTCTCAATGACTATATCAAATGCAAGGATTAGTATTATTATAAATAGGATGCATGACAAAACTGTGACCTGACTTCTATGGTTTTGAGGTTCAATATCCCTTTATTCTCAGGATAGGTAACAGCCCAAATCAGGACTGATTCACATGTGGTTGCATTAGTTCTGTACTGTAATAGAGTTCAAATATAAACCTTGATTACTGTAGTTTTAATTCAAATAATAATTATAATAATCCTTGCATTTGATATCGCGCTTGATCACGTCTTTGAGACTATACTGTAAAGTGAATCGACTGTAGGTTTTGTGGGCGAAACACGGCAGCCAATTGTACACAACAGTGTCCCACAAACAGTCGTGGATTGAGTGACCAAATTATTCTTATTATTTTTTTGGAAAGGATTATTAGCTCTGGAAAAGTGAACCGTCAATCGACTAACAACTGGGTTCCTACTTATTGCTAGATAAACGGAGGTGTGTGGAGTAAGGAAACTTGCTGAATGTTTTGCTGGGAATAGAATCCAGTCCTCTCGCTTGCGAGACAAGTGCTTTAACTACTAAGGTACAGGACTCCGGTATAAAGGGAAGAAGAGGATGACAGAATACAACTAAAAGTATTCCACAAATTGTCCTCCTGATGTGAAAGGCACTACTGTATATCAAATGTACAGATTATTATGGCCTTCTGTATAAATCATCAAATATGTTTTAAAATTGTATTAAATTTCTTGTAATTTAGAATTTGAAAATTATCTACAATAGTTTCCTCCCCCCAATCCCCATAGTACTGTCACAGTACTATCGTAGACAAAGTCACCATGACTTCAGTGAAAACAAAATGAATGTTTCCATAGGTGTTATTCATATATTTCTATTGATACTTTAGCAAGAACTGCCAACACCCACATAGCAACTCAACAAAGTAGAGGTGTCATTTGAGCATTGTCATCTAACATATGCCCTTTCTAATTTGATTTATTAATAAGCAAAGTCCATCACACCATTCCATGGAAGTTCCACTTTATTGTGGTCTACTTTTGTAGCAGATTTCCCACCGATTATTATGATGTACCTGTGATGACTAGAGGGAATGCCACTCATATCCTTTAATAAAAAATCCAGTTATCAGACCTCAATTTTAACGACTATGGGAAATTATTTTAAGTTAGACCAGCATCCACTAGTGTGATCTGTTAAGCTTCACAACTAGCTGAAGGCTAATGCTATTTAATAAACAGTCATGCAAGACATTCTACTAGATTTTACTTTATCTCCCCACATATTTCTCCCTCTTCTTTAACCGTACTGACTCATGCTAGATCCAGTTCCACAGGCACTGGCAGACACAAAGAACTTTGCCAAATGACTATTCTTCATGGGTGAGCTAAGACACTGCATGTGACAGTTTGTTTGATAAAAAGTGTAATATGCCTCCTCTCTCGCTCAGGTGCCCTGAAGTCAAATAATTTGAAACAGACCAGTGAACTGGCCTTTCTTACCCGTTATGGTTCAATACTGCACTGGGTGATGCAATTACCAACTGAACTACTGGATGAGCTGCCTACAAATTTGCAGCTGTACCGAAATTACGGCTGCTGAGGTAAAGGTACACACTTTTACAACATCTGGAATCTGTAGTGAATAACCTGAGCACGCTGTAAAAGTATGTGCTACAGCAGCCATAACTCTTGTGCACTGAACACTTCCTGGGCTGTCAAGGTGACTTTTCAGAATTGGCTGCCCCACGATACATTTACCTGAAACAGGTTACGTACATTGTTTTTTCACCTCTGGGATCTAGGTTTCAAGGCTGTTCAAAATCCCCTTGAAGTCCATATTGCACTTTCCTGCTTGGTAATAGTTGGGTTGTAAAATCCAAATACCCCCTGCTAAATCTACAGATAACATAACAAAGAATGGAACAATTAGCTTGGTTATAACCCAGAAAGTAATTTCTCAGTTTCGCCCATGCTGGCATTGAAGGAAACAAAGAAGCAGTCTCATAAGGATTGAGAGCGGAAAATTGGAGGTAAATTCATTCCTACGGGCTGCTCTCACACATTTCCTCCTCCCAAGAAATTTCCCAGGCACTGTACTGTTGAATCATTGCACTTATATTGCACCATTGGACAACCGAATGCACACCACTAGCTCCATACCCATATCAGCAATATAGGTAACATAATAATAATAATCATAATAATCCTTACATTTGATATAGCTCTTTTCAAGTCTTCTAGACGTCTCAAAGAATATACTGTAAAGTGAATTGACCATACAGTATTTGTGAGTGAAATGCAGCCAATTGCGCACAGCAGTGTCCCACAAACAGTCATGGATTGAAGTGACCAATTTTATTATTGTTTTTTTTTCTTGAGGGATTATTATCAGGCGTGTGGAGTAAGGCAACTTGCCCAAGGTTTCGCCCTGCCGGGAATCAAACCCAGGACTCTCGCTTGTGAGACGAGTGCTCTCACTACTGAGTTACAGGTCTCCTATTCATTGACGTCCCTTTTCTGCATCACATGGCATCCACATTTTTCCTGCTTTATTTTCAATGAATAGATGCGAATATTTTAATTGTTCACTTACTTCCAGACAATCCTCCTGCTGATTGAGATATGGGAAATTAGCACCAATTCCAAATAGTACAATTCTGATGGCGCTGAGTTCTTCATAAGTGGGTCTTGCTTTTTTGGTAGATGCAGATGTCATTTTTCAATCAGCTCAGCTGGTCCTATTACTGTGTGTTGAGCTCTAAAGAGACCAGGGGCCTATTTCTGACTTGTTCAATTACAGGCTTGTTAACTGATTATCGATGTTGTCCAATGATTAGCCATCTTAACCTACCACCACTTTAAGTTAAGATGTAGTGGATCATATTATACAACTGTAACTGTTTGGCAGTAGCTCTATGCCTTCAGTGCCCCAACGCTGTCCAATGTGGCTCTTCACCCAACAGTCTTAATATCTGTCCTTTGGATATGTTGTCAAACATAAAGGGATGCTTTATAAATTAGTGTACGTAAGTTTTAGTCAGTCAAAATGCACACATATCATTAGTCTGTAGATCACCTTAAAATAACAATAAGAAAACTATAGATGAACATAAATCTATGTGTTTTTATCTAAAGCAACATACATTTTGTACACTGCTCCCATTATGTTGAATCATTAACCTCTGGTGTCTGCTGTCACTTGTATTGAAGAGCTCTCAAGTGTCCTTTCGTTATTTGAGTGTAAATGCTTCTGCAATCCTTCTGCAGTGCAATGCTAGCTACAAATAGTAAGTAAGCATTGTAAGTAAGCACATGAACACCCTGTGAACTAAGCAATTCATCAACCCAAGGAAATTAATAAGTTACACAAGAAACTTCTCCATGATAAGCTGTGACCCTGCAAAATATACACAATCACTGCACTTTGCAGTAAATGCTGTGAAATGCTTTGAGTTGTCCTCCCAACATCCTATACTAAATGTAAGGATTATTATTATGTTATTACAGTTCAAATCAATTTGTAGAGGTTTGTAGAGTAAATGGTTTTCAGGGATGGGTCAGCCAGACCAATAACATTGCTACTGTACATATGACTGGATATTGCTTTTCTTAATATGTGTGAGCTTGCTAAAATGGCTAGTTTTTGCAGGAGGTTTATATATTTATACACCAAGTATTTTGTCAATTTTAAATTATTATTATTATAATGACAAATCATATATATATATATTTTTAGAAGCACTTAAAATATTTTCATAATACAAATACCTAACTTTGATTTTAAGGTGCTTTCGGTTTATGAATCCTAAAACAAGGATTTTCTTATCCTCTATCTGGGAATATTAAATACAATACAACCGAAAGCAGTGTTACTCTTTGTACAGTGAATGCCTGGAGGCAGAGTATGACCTTGAGAATAAACTGGGAAAACTACATGAAGAAAATTTCGACAAGGCATTATTGACTGTCCCAGGAAGTGGTCCCTTGATTCAAGCTTCATGATGTGGTGTTGATATTATGGTATCAGTAAGCAGCATAATTAAAAATATCAGGCTGATTTCCTGCTGCTTGTACAACCTTGGGAAATGTGAGAACAAGCTTAGTGAATAAAGACATGTCTCTGTTTTGTTTGAGTTATAACTTCACTGTCTTACTTAGTACTTAGGTTCGTTAATGTTTAATTGTTCCTGTGTGTCTGTGTGCTAAGATAGAGGTGTAACAGACAATATCTCTCCGACTTGAATTAGTGCTACAGTATCACTGAGGCAATGACATTTATAGATAATTATTCTTATTGAAATTTTTAAAATATATTCTGATCGATTATCGGTCAGTCATTCACAGGTGAGACTGATTCTATCCTGAGCCAATGTTGACCTCCTTGATGATGATGGGGGTATGGGGGGGGGCTTAATACAGCAATAAGACTTATTGATTTCTCCCAACCCCCACTTGCCCATGAATATTGTAATGTGAACTGCTAGATGAAAAAAGAGCAAGATCCATACAGTTTGCCTTCTATTATTATTATTATTATTATTACCATCCTGGTTCTAGCATGTACAACAATGTTGATAGCAATTAATTCTGTACGGATTAGTCTGTAGAGCCCCCACCTTTGCTCCGGCTGAGATCAGTATGGACCACTTACAAAGCTTGTGCCCTTCATGATCTATGCTTCAGTATCACACCAGGCGATATATTTACCCACTGAGGTGGCAGTGATCCTGAGTTTTGTGTAAATTGATCTGATTGAGGATTGAGGCAGACTTATGGAGAAAGCAGTATCTTAAACCTTGGCTGTCAAGTAGGAAGTCATTTGACTTTCTTTACCCGCTTTGGCCTTCATTTTCAAAACTAGAATATTTATAGATTAAGCGCATCAATTCTTAAGATCTTTGTACTTTACTGTTGTTATGTTTAAAATATATGTTGTATAATCCCATAGTAGTTAAAGCAGTCCCATGAGTAAATATAATCAAAGCCAATGTAAGATGTTAATTGTAAAAGCTGTTATCATTCGTATGAGTAAGTTTGTTGATTGAAGAATAATAAGGAGGGTAAGGGATGCTGATTATGGAGAAGGAATGTGGTATTCAGAGACCTTGGCTACACAAGAGTGGGAAGATATGCGGGCAGCTGAGTCTGAACAACAGAACCAAGGTCGCAGTGCGGCGTGCAAAGCAGAAGGATGAATGGAAAACAGGAAGCGGTTGTGTCCTGCACGAAGAAGAACCTTATATGGAGGACAATGGGACACATAATTATAAATAAGGGTGAGACTGGAACTTTGGATTTGTCTTCGTTCGTGGGTTAATAGCTGTGAACGTCCTGACCATAGAAGGGAAGTCCTCAGGTCATCTGGTAGTATTGTTTCATTACGCGTCTTTTACTATTGCTGTTACTCGGGTTGACCAGCAGGGAAACTGATTTATGAGCTTTTTGTATTAAATAGAATTAGACTTTAGCTTTTGTCTAGTCTTTATTCTTTACACTGTGAATACTTGATGTTACAGTTCATTTTTAGATGCTATGCTGAAAAAGGTCTGTGTTTCATTACAATTGTAACAAAATAACATAAACCTCCAATTTGTCTCCTGGCTGCCTGTTCCCAGCATTTTCTTGTGATATAATAATCTGATGATAATAATAATGATAATAATCCTTGCATTTGATATAGTGCCTTATCCCGTTGAGACGTCTCAAAGCTCTTCCCAGAATATATTGTGAATTGACTGTGTATTTTGTGGGCAAAACAGGCAACCAATTGCGTACAGCAGTATTCCACAAACGGCCGTAGATTGAATAACCAAATTATTTATTTATTTGAATGCTTATTACACCCGGAAAGAGATCCGCCAATCGACTAATAACCAGGTTATTGCTAGGTAAATAGAGGCATGTGGCGCAAGGAAACCTGCCTAATGTTTCGCCCTGCCTGGGATCAAACCCAGGTCCTTTCGTTTGCGAGGCTAGTGCTCTAACCAATATGCTACAGGACTCCATAATAATGGATCAATTCAGCCTCGTTCTATCTTCCACCAACAGCAACTTCACTGAAGGAAAGATTTGACTGAGACTTGATGCCTCAGTTATCCAGAGAGAACAAAACAAAGCATGCTTCACTTTGGTACCTAAAACATTTTCTGTCTTAAGCTCATGTTTATTTAGCGCTATTGATGATGTTCATTTATATGCAGCCAAGAAACCACTTTGCAATAATTTCAGATACTTGAGTTTAGAGGATTAAAACATAATTATTTTCTTTCCAAGAGACCTCTTTGTATTGCAGCATGAAATACTATACTTAGTATTAGACAGTGGGATTTTCAAGACCGGTCTAAATGTCATCACTGAAAGGTTAAGCAGGGAGAATCCAAATGCTTAGCTTACTCCAACAAGCTTGATAAACCTAATAAGATGTGGATGTAAAGTCTCAAGGCAATTGAAATTGTATATGTGACAGATATTCTGCTGATGTATGTACATATTTAAAAGTACTTGATTATATCAGTGGTAATTTGAGTAAAAGAATGGTAGGCGCTATGATAGAATGATGCGCTTCCAGATGTACATCTTCAGCACTTTCTCCGTTACACAACGTGAACAACGATAGGAATAGGCAAAAATAGCCACTAAAAAAAATTGTTTTAAATATGAAAAATGATTAATTTAAAACGTTCTGGTTTCTTCAAATTGTCAAAAATCAGGTTAGCATTAAATCGATGCTTAGAAAAAGGAGCTAAAATTTTTATGTTAATCTATATTTTATAAGCTGGAATTTAAAAATATCACGAAGTTGCTAAGCTGTCATTACATTGCTCTTATTGTTAGAGCTAGAGAACCCTAAATTCTTGAACATATATTTAGTACCTGGTGTTTAAACTGATATTTATGTAGGTTTTATGTATTTCTTTATTAGCATGTTTTATGCCAATTTTACATTTACAGATAAAATTTGTTACATTATGTTCTGTGCTGTAAGCCTTAAAGGGAAGATCAATTCTTGTTGAATACATTTGCATTTTTGTAAATTCATGATGTATTTGCTATCTACTATATTTATATGTTAAGCATCTTAAGGGCTATGATTCTCTTGTTATCCCTTTTTAGATGATCTGGCTAATTGTAAGCACAGGGGTTCCACTTCATCTCTTTGTAGACTGAATGCCTGGAGGCAAAGATTGACCTTGAGGGAGATTTGTGGAAAAAACATGAAGAAGCGTATCTACTTCTGGATATTATAGATATTGACTGTTCTGCTGCACTGGAGAGAGAGAGAAAAACATAAGGAAGGGAAGATCTTAAACACAAACCAGCTAGTCACGGATTTAAAAATGTTACAGCTGAAAACATTCCTCTACTTTAATGCTCCAACTATGTCTTGACTTAACTATTTATAGGCTGATGACTAAAGTCATATTCAAAAGAGCGAAGTGTTATCTAAACTTGAATGCATATAAATCAATCGGAATGTATTTACAGAAGTATTACATAAAGATTCACCAGCCAGATGTGGCATCAATAAAATTACTTAAACAAAACCCAAAGCTTTATCTATTCTATTAAGCTGTTTAAGAGATAGCTCACTTTGACTGAATTCACAGTTCACTCTATTGCACAGAAGGTTAATTACACAGATGATCAATAATTTATAAACATATCACCCACACGGCTAGAAAGATGCAGTGTAATCATTTTGTGTAAATCTGTGTTAAAGAATAGACCATTCTTCTCAAGACTTGAAGAAAAATCTCCCTATCTGGAATTTAATTCAGCCTTGGAGGCTGCACAGAATAAAATAGCTGCAGTCAAGTTGCACGTAAATCCACTAAAACAGAATTCATTTGATCTGCTTAAGTCAGACGTGTGTGCATACAAACTCAGAGAGCATAATAGATGACAAAGCAACCTCATCAGTTAATGTCAGATATTAAGATCTTTTATTGTAGGTTTACAAAACTATTGAAAAGAGTACTTCATCTTACTTCAGTTACTTGCCCTTTCTATGAGGAAAAAGCAAGGATTTTTATCAAAAGTACTCAAAACTCCAGAAACCCCTGCACTGAAAATGTTGTCATCATATATAACGACTGCTGTGTTAAACTGCATCACACTAAAATGGTAATTTTGTTTTATTGGTGATATTTTTATAGGCTTTTCAGTTTCCCTTCTTCTGAAATCTTCTTTGTTGTGTATGCGCAACTGTTGGTAGATAATAATCATAATCCTGATACTGATCAGGCTAAATTCAAAATTGTACAAAGAGGACCTATTTATATTGTCAAACAAAAATAGGCTATGAGCTGCAAGAGTTAGCTGAAAAGCATGTTTTACATGTCTCAAGAGAAGGATCACTATCAACTGGAACATTTCACATGATGCAAGGCTGAAAGATTGACCCTGTACAATAATAAATTAATAAATTACATTTGTATAGTGCCTTTCATGTCGGGAGGGCATCCCAAGGCGCTTGACATCAGAACGGGAAAACTCCTTTCTCTTAGAGAGGGAGAGATTTCTACACGACAACAACAACAGCAACAAAATTACATTTACAGAGCACCTTTCACGTCGGTAGGATGTCCCAAGGCGCTGGACAGTCAGGAGTCAGGACTCCAGCATGGGAGAGGGGTGAGGTAGGGGTGAGGGAAGGCAGAGAGGTGGAAGGGTGACTGAAGGCATGATTGAAGAGGAGGGTCTTGAGACCAGCCTTGAAGGAGGCAAGGGAGGAAGCGAGGCGAAGGGACTGTGGGATGGAGTTCCAGAGTGTGGGGGCAGAGAGGCTGACAGCCCGGCCAGCGATGGTAGGGCGGGTCGGGCAGGAGACATGGAGCAGACCGGAGCCCACTGAACGGAGGGAGCGGGCAGGTTGGTAGGGAGTCAGCAGGTTAGAGGTAGGAGGGGGCAAGACCAGGGATGGCGTTGAAAGTGAGGACGAGGATCTTGAATTCGATCCTCTGAGGGATGGGGAGCCAGTGGAGTCGGGTGAGAGTGATGGGGTCACGGAGCCTAGTGAGCGAGAGTACACGAGCTGCAGAGTTTTGAATAATCTGCAGCGTGTGAAGGGAAGAGTTGGGAAGACCGATGAGGAGGGAGTTTCCATAATCGAGCCTTGATGTGACGAATGCGTGAGTGAGGGTTTCGGCAGCCTGTAGTTTGTTATTGGCAGCTATACAGCTGATCGCAAAGTTTGAGGATTTAACACTTGAAGTAAAGAATTATGTTTGACTTTGTAACTGTGTGCCTCTTGTGTGGAAGAGTTTTACTGTCAGCTTGTCCAAAGATAATTATATTTTTCAAAAGTTACTGCATTGTGCTTTTTTAAAAAAAAAATACAAATGGACCAATCAAATGAAAAATATATTTGAGGATTTAAACTGCAGGATTTTCCGATCATACTTTAGAAAGGGATCACTTCTAAAATGGACTCTTTTGGCTCTTTAGAAATGCAGGCAAGCTTCAGCAGTGTCAAACACCCACCGAATTGTACTCAATATCTCTGTGTTAATGTTATGGCAGTTCATCACTTGCACACATTATCATCCGAACTTGCTGCTGTGTTATTAGTCTTTTAACACTCATTTGGGAAGCAGATACAAGTTGCCCTGTTCAGCCTCAAGTTATCATATTGATTTTTTGTAAAGGCTACTCTGCTAGGCAAACCACTTTCTGATGCTTCATCAGATCTAAAGGTTCAGTAATTGTGTTCCTCAAAGAAAGAAAATCTAGACGGAAAAACATCTCATCTGTTAACAATATGAAAATGCTTTCAAGGGAAACAGTATACAGTGCAGTTACTATTGTATATAGGGAAGAGAAAATAATGATTGTATTTGTCACTTTGCAAATCTCTTTCGGGACACTAGTAGCATACTTTACAACACTGGATACAAAAATACAAGATTAGAGCTCTCTACATTTCAGTCTACTATGTGTTCTGAACTTTATTCTGATTGTGTTCTGCAACAGTAGGCATTATGTCTTAGAAAAGAATTTGTTTTTACTGTAATTATCCTTGTTTGCTTAATAAAAGTTCTCCTTTCTATCAATGTTCCTGAGAATATTAAGGTCATCAAGTGTCTGTGTACTCAAATATGTAGCTGGTCTGATTTCCTTAAACATCAAGATCTTTTAGTCCTCAAAAGATTAAATGGGACAAGGTTAATACTGTATTTAGCAACGTAAGATTTTTCTAAAGGTGAATATGTAAAACGTAATGTAGTAGACATGGTAGTTAATGGTCACAGTGTTATCAGGAATATTCAATTAATTCCTGCAGGTCTTGGTTAATAGGAACATGTGGATAAAGGCAGACACTGAGGGGTATGGAGGTCAGAAAGCTTCCACTGCACCTGAATACATTGAAACAGTTTAAAGAACAAACAAAAATACTCCTATAAAAAGTTGTAAATATTAGGTTCAGAATTACTACACATGGGAATTATGTGAACTTACATGATTTAGCAATGAGTTCCTATCAAGTTATCAGTTCAGAGGTCTGTAGCACAAGAACTGTGTGAAAACAAGGTTACCCATCATTATGATTAACATAGACACTTATATATGATTAATTCGGTGCTAAGAGACCAATAAATATTGGTCGTATTTTTCATTGAAATGAATATATTTTAAGAAACTACATGATACGATTCATCTATCACTGCTGTGTCACATGCCATATGTGTGATGCTGAACATTTTTGATAACTGAATTTGAACTAAATTCATATCTGCAAGTTCTTCACAATGACCGATAAATAAAACCTCCATAAATACTGAAGTTACTGATTATGACAATATTGATATTATGTGCATGAAATGTTTCAAGCTTCTTTATTAGCTTTAAATGTATTAATAGTTTCAATGTATGTGTAAAAGAATGATGCCAGATAGTAACAAATCCAAGAGAAGTTTATTATGAATATGGCATTTGCAGGATGATAAAATCAAGTTACATAACCATGTATGACATGTTTCTTTGAATTGATGAAAGAATCTACAAAAGTATAAAGGAATCCTGTAAATGAAGTATGTACATTTCTGGTTTGCAGCATTATCCGTGATCAATGAAAATGTTTTAAAAAATAAGCCAGGCACTCAGAAGGTTAGCTTAAGTTAGCTTGAAGTTTGAACCACAAAAATAAATGTACCATTGTTGTCTCTTTAAATTTACTTTTAATCGTTTTGTATTGTAGAGCTTGTAACACTGTTAACATTGATACCTAACAGAATCCCTTACCCCATTATTCAGCTACTTGGCACCAGTTCCTCATAAAATATTTTATATACTTGTACAAGAAATAGTTAAAAACACAGACACAGCCTTCACAGGTGATGAATTTTTCATACTGTAATTTTAAACACTATGTGATTTGACAGTAGCTGTGATTATTGTTAGTTCAAATCACCAGAAACCATCTGACACCGACACAGAAACATTAAAAAACAGCTCCTTTTTGCTGTTTTTAGCTATTGTTTGCAGTTAGAGCACAAGGGACTCTGGGAATGTTTATAGCTGAGGCTCCATGGCAGCAATCTGGCACCCACATCCGAGCCCTGCTATTTAGTGCATTGTTTGGCAAGATGGAAGATAAGTCATGCCCAGAATTCCTCTGTGAAAATGGCTCCATTAACCATGAGCTAGTTAAGAGTCTTTTATCTCTGAGAGAGGTCTGAAGAATACACAGCAAAGCAACAGCAGAAACAAAAAATATACAGACAGGGGGAGCAGCATAAGGTGACACTACAGAGAAAGGCCATTACACAAAAACACCACCTCCCAAGAATCACTGGTTCACTAGGATTGCGGTAATGGAACTGACCATTGCAGACTAGAGATAAAGCACAGTGAAGACAAAGGACAATATTGCCACATTAGCTTAGTATATACTGCATATAGTAACACACATTAAAATTTTGCAATGGGACTGACAGTCAAGGACACTTACACATTGTACACATTACTGATGTCACTCTCATTATTAGATGCCTTAATGAACAGCTGCCAAAGATGGAGTGAAAGAAGCATTTATACTGACAATCACAAATAGTGTCAAACACTAGAATGTGTTTTTGGCAAAATGATGACAGAAAAATAGAATTCTGAGTCTATTAATTCATGTGCAGTTATCATTTGTGTACCTATTCCAAGCTTATAAACCCGATCTTGAATTTCTGTTTCAGTACTAACAACTAAAGCACAATTATAATTTCCTCTATTTCAGTAAACAAAAAGCGAAGAATAAAGAAACGACATGTTAAATATTCCTTTTAGAACTCTAAAACAATGTTATTTAAAGTTGTCGATTAGCCTCAGTTATACTGAGGGAAAAAACATAACTGAAAATAAATGCAAATAGCTTGCCTCGACTCAATCTCATTGAGTTTCCTTAAAGCACTTTCAAAAAAGGCATGACTATAAAAACGTTGGTGTGAGGCATTGTTTTTTAGTCTGGAGGTAAAGTTTACGTGGCTGCAGCAGATGTTAATGCAGGTACTGGTCATAAGAAAATGAGGGAACTGCAGCCACAAGCTAGCAACTAAATCCACTTGTCTAGTACAAAACAGTTTTCTCCCACAAACTCCAGCCCATCCGCTGCATATTTTACGAAAACAACAAAGGTTAATAAATGGTAGCACCATGGTAGCAAAAAGTAACGACTACTTATGGTTCATTAACTACACATGGATTCCACCTTCCTACGGTTTTCAAGAGTTTAACATTCTAGTCACAGGCCAGAATCAAATTATGTAAGAACCCAAATTGCTTTATGTGCAAGTAAGAAAAATCTGAATCATAAAAAAGAATTAAACTCTGCATAAAATTCCAAAATACTATGCCCTATTTTTAAAAAGGAAAAAAAAGAGAACCCCTTTAAATGTCTGACTTAGTCAAACAGGGTCACTGTTCCATACTTACCTCCTTCAACCTTGATCATATCAAGATCATTATAGATTAAAATCTGTGATTCTTTCATTTTACAACCTCTTGACCATTGCATTTGCATCTTATGGCAGAGTCATGTACACATTAAAGGCATCTTCACAAAGATGCAACGGAAAACACACCTTTGAAGAAACATTTACAAGTAACTAGTAATTCAACTCTCTGAAGGCAAAAAAATAACTCTTTACATCACAGAATGATTAGTCATAGTTCAAGGGAGACACAAAACTGTTGTATTGATGGCATGAGCTGACCTGCTCAAGTTCAAAGTGCTAGCACTAGAGTTCAGATGAAAACATTGTCTATGCCTCAGAGTATAACACTGAACACAGTATATGGTCATAGTTTAATCCTCTTTACGTTCCAGCGTTTGTGTAGTGTGAATGCCATTACTGTACACAGGAAACGGAAGTGTGGAAAAGAGTCCCTCTGCTGTTGTGAACATATTCCCTGCAGGCATTTGGGACAAACTGGCCCCACTCACAGTGCTCCCGAATGGCCCTGACATATTAATTCGATGTACGTGGTGATAAAGCATTTCCATTGGCGTCTTGGGCTCTAACCCAAAACTGGAACTGTTAACATCCACAAAGTTAACAGCATGAGCGTTAGGCAGCAAGTTGCCCTGCATTGCAAAAGTCACCTCAGCTGGAGCATACCGAATGGTGCCAGTGGTATACACCCTCTGAGGAGTAGTGCTGGTGGCAGCCAGGGATCCTGTCACCCTATGAACTAGGGGAAGCACCACATTACCAGCCTGTAATCTCTGCAGAGTTTCTAGGTCACTAGTGTACAGCACGGAACTGGTGGTGCTGGAGCCACCAGGCTGCTTGTCTCGTGGGGAAGCTGAGAGAGGGGGAGAGAGAGGGTCTGATGATACAGAAGCCAAGGTGGCACTGGATGAGGTGCTGAACTGAGTTTTACGGCTGGCAGTGTTTTCAGTCCCTGGGGGAGTGAGAACAGAATCTGGAATGGTGACGTGTAAACTAGTGCTGGCCTGTGGAGAAGGGAAGTGCTCAGAGCTAGGGGGCTTGGTCATACTGAAAGGGGATTCATTCCTTGAGATCTCTCTGTTTGGAGGGTAATTCCAAATACTGCTATCATTATCAAAATTTATAGGTTCTGTTATTTCTGTTTTAATTTTAAGCACTGAGGCACTGTTTGGTGAAGACAGTAGTTGAGGCTGGTCTACTATGTTTGGGTCAAGTCCACTAGGGCTTGAAGCGCTTGACAGCCTTCTACGTGTAACACTGCCTCCTTTTTGTTTTTTTCTCCTCTTCTTTCTCTTCTGATGTTTGCTGGAAGACTGGATGTTCATCTCTCCTGCGCTGTCGGAATCCTTGGCACTGTCTGAGGTCACTGACTCCCGGTTTGGCAAGTGCATCTCTGATTCACTGCCTGCATATCGTTCCACTTTGATCTGCATAGAACCAAAAGTGCCAAAGCTGTCCTCAGCTGCTTTCTGGCCCTCAAAGTCTGAATTTTCAAAGCTATCATCACTGTCCCTGCTGTCCTGGTTGCTGGAGCTATTGCCATCATCGTTGCAGTTCATTTCATGGTCTGGGTGGTTCCCAGACTGCTTCTTACTGTCTGACTCTGGATCATCACTGTTTTCAGACTGGTTTCCCTTCTCATCTGACTTGGGATTTTCATTATCCTCTGGGGGGGTGAATAGGAAAAAAAAGTCATTGCATTATAAAATTTAATGCATTTAGTTTAATCGAATAGAACAGCCCCTATTTGCACTTTCCTCAAGGAACGAATATACAAATGAGTCTGGATGACAGTAGAAGGATTGTCTGTCTGAAGCCCTCAATAAATACAATGCTATGTTTATTAATGCTAAGATTTCCTTGTAAAAATCTTCTCAAGATCAACGTCTTTGAGTTTCATCACTGCACATATCTATTAGAGGGCAGATGGGATCAAAATCAAAGTTGTCTTGAAATGTTCTCAACTGGGATAATAATAATAATCCTTGCATTTGATATAGCGCTTTTCACGTCTTCTCAATGTCTCAAAGCGCTTCACAGAATAGACTGTAAAGTGAATTGACCGTATATTTGTGGGCGAAACGCGGCAGCCAATTGTGCACAGCAGTGGCCCACAAACAGTCGTGGATTGAAAATGACCAATTTATTATTGTTTTGTTTTGGAGAGATTATTATTAAGCGTGAGGAATAAGGAAACTTGCCCAAGGTTTCGCCCTGCCTGCATGGGCTCAGTATATTAGAGACAGCCCAGTCATAATACAATACAAAATTGCATTTGCATAGCGCCTTTCACGTCGGATGTCCCAAGGAGCTGGACAGTTAGGGATTTGGACCCAAGCAGGGGGGGCGAGGCGGGCAGGGGGGTGGGATCAGGGAGGGTGGAGGGCAGGGAGGGCATCCGAAGACTCCGTCAAAGAGGAGAATCTTGGTGTGATGGGAGAATCTTGATGGGAGAATAATGGGAGAATCTTGGTGTGCATAGGTCATATCAAACTGGAGCTACACATTGCCTCCTGAAAGCGTTATAGCTGCTTTTGAAGGGAGAGGCAATGAGAGAACCTATTCATCTGTTACCCAAGAAACCCAAGTTACTCTTCTACTCAGCAACACAGAATATAATATGCCATTAAATCATTTAAGGCAGATTTTTTAAAAAAGCTTCATTCTGCTTGATACAGAATATAACAAATACAATATAATATATCTATTGTTCTGTAACATTTAGGATTTGAATAAGATTTGTTCCCTTAGGCACATTTCACTATCTACCCAACAGGTGTATATTTATCAATATGAAATGAATCCTTGTCACTGAAAATCTATCCACAGACTTTTTTCCTTCAAATTCTATGCCTGGATTCACTTGCAAGCTGAAATCTGACTCTTATAATCTAAACATAGTTGTTCGCAATGCATGCCATTAAATCTTTTAATACCAATTTATTTTAAAATTTTCATTCTAAATGGCATTTTTCCTATGTGTAATGTTACAGAACTAACTTTTTTTTTCATTTTTCAACCCTCTCCCCTTCCACAATTGAGAGACTAAGTTAATGGACTGTAGAATCCCCTACATTTTCCAAAGTCAATTCAGTTGCCAAATGTACATACAATCCCAGTTCCAGTCCTGGTCTTCTTTACTGCCATGTTGAATGAATCATAGAAATATCATTGTCCTACTCCATAATTTATCAGTCATTTTTTTTCCCAGATCAGGCTAAATAAACACTACCATTCCCAACTGCCGTAGTATTTTGTATGTTTTGACAGTGTTATTTAAAAACAATCCCAATCCACAGAACTATTAATGACAGACACCTGTAGGCAGCCAGTCTTTACAAGTACAAATGATCTGCCACACATGCAACACCGAACTATTAATTCTTAATCAATTACTGTCAGTATTATGATATATCCCAAAGGATTCTTTACATAGTAGGGCACTCAGATATTTGCATCTGGTAAACACAGATAGCAATAGTTTTCACTTAAATTTGCATATTTTGTATTATGCAGTCATTACATTTTCTCTAAAAAATTTTGCAACTCCAAGTAATGAAAGGATTAATAAACTTTGGGTAGAGTAAAAGTAATATAAGGGCTCATTGAATGTTAATTTTTAAAATATGGTTCAGACCAAACCTCTATTTTTGTTATCAGCTTTACCTGAGTTTTCTTTTGAATCAGATTCGGAATCAGAAGTCTCAGATGATTCAGATGTTTTCTCAGGAAGATTGGGCAACTGTACAATATCCATCGGAATGTCCTTGTATTCAGGATCGCTGGGAATACACAGTTAAATGTTAAGATTTGCGCATGTATATTTTCAAGCATCAATGTGAAAAAAATCATGTTTCAAGATATGAGGTAAACAATGCACTTCTACACTTTTTGTTCTCTGGTATATTTTTTAATAAAGTAACACTGTTCTTTGCTTCATACTCACTTTTTTATTGTCAATTTCTACCTACTGTCACCTTTTAACATAATTTCTTCATTCACGTGCACATTCACTCAACATTTTTCTGTCACATCTGTGGTGTGCGTGTGTCTGCAGATTCTGAAGCTCTGCCAAGCTGCTGGAGCTTTCTCTCACTGTAAAGAGCAAGTGATTTGCTTTCCAGAGATATTATGGCTCATCTTTAATGTTTGCTCTGAGAAACGTTTTGTACCATATTGCAATGCAATCTCACGCCCTATTGTCACTTTAGGCTAGAAAACAGATGGCTACAATTGCAGGAGCCATTGTGTTTGATGCATGGCCAGCCTGCACCAATTGCAGTTTACGGCGCTCTATCCTCAGTAATTATAATCACTTTGCACCTTCTGTACTCGCTGTAGAAGCAAACAAGGTCATTGCTGTTGCACAGTTCAAAGAAGTAGGAGCGTTGAGCTAACAAGGAAAATAAACCTGAATCTAATCCAGTCTAGCAAGTTTATCAAATCAAGTTTTTTTTGAATATGAAATAATTCAAACTAAATGAACCCCCCCCACGCCCCCCGCCACCCACCCACAATTAATTGCAACATAGACATTTCAAGTCACATCAAATCAGTGGCTTATATTTGATCAAAAAACATTGTTAGAGGGATCTCAGCTAGGACAGTAACTAAAATTGCTTTTAATGCCTAAGAAAATGTCAGGTATCCAGTGACACCTGCCGGAAAGTGCATATGTGTGCTTTTCAGATAAGGACCCGGCCCAGAATGACTTTGATATAATGGCCAAACAGCCTATTGACATTGAAATATCTTGGCCTGCAAAATGAAGAATAACTATATTCCCTCTTTGTCACAGATATTCAGCAAAGACCAGCAAACAATGAATGCAGATGTCAGATTACCTGGGATTCTTACTCATTTCTCCATGTTAAAAGACAAGACTAAAATATGAACTAGGATCTCCTGATTAAGGGATGAAACTTTCAGGACTTCTTCTGAATCCATTCCTAAATTCACATTAAGTTCCTTAAAGCCATGCATTACAATCAGTTGTGATGGCATGTGTTCCTTCATGTTGGGTGGGGAATGATAAGTGGTGTGGATTTTTCCACATTAATTTGCATCTCTCCTCTGAAACTGACTAATGCGATTTGTGATGTTTGGCAAGTCCTTTTGTGTTTTTAGCACAAGATTATGGAACTAAACCTATGGTAATAAAACATTGCCAAATGTTACGTGAAACAGCCATTATCACTGCTTTGATTACAAATTTCATAAAGAATGTTTAAATTGCTCAGAATGCAAATGCTTCTGCTAATGTCGAATTTCACACATTGTGATTTTAGAGAGATTTTAGTAACTCAGGTTGCAATAACTTAGACACGCTGGACTCTACGTTATAGTGTGCACAACTGCATGTTGAGGTAACTGCTATTTGCACCAGAGTTTGCAGGTTCTCAGCTTGTTCTCTTTAAATTCCTAACAAGGGAAAATAACACAAAATGTGGGACTGAAACCACTAGACGCTGCTTGAGTGTGATGCTCACTTTCAGAGCTGCCTGTGGTGCCATTTGTTATGTGATATTCACACCATGATTAACACAGCACATGGCTCCACTGACATTATTCAATTTTGTTGGTATAATATACTTGAAGATACATTTTGTGCAATACAAATTTACTATTAGTGTTTCCATGACTAGTTCAGTGATTAGTCAAAGGGTGCTGCAATTGTCATTCTGTTTGCATGACTGTGGAATTTGTTAACAATTTCAGAAACACTCACTAAACTAGATAAATAATTGTCAAGGAAAAAATGTCTGTGCTTACACAACATCAATAGATGGGAACTATTTGCCAAAATAATCAAGAAAATTCTGTATGTGGCAGACATTTACTAAATTATTTCCAGATTTCACATATACAATGGATGTTTGTAAAAGAAAGAACATTTTATAGCACCTTATACGTCAAAACACTTCAAACCACTTTCAAGTGATTATTGTCAAGTGTGGTGACGATTTTCTTGTGTGCGGGCAAATAGCGAAGCCATTTTGCTCACATCAAATCAGACATCAGGTGAATAACCAATTTTACCTGGAGGAATGATAGCCACCACACCTTCTGTTTTCAACCAGTATAATGGGATAAGCATGAGGAATGTCACCTGAAGGACAGAACTTCAAGCAATGCAACAATCCACCGTGAGCTCACTTGAGTGTCAACCTAGAACTTAGGCTCAAATCCCAAAATGGGGCTTGAATTCAAAACCTTTGTTTGACGCAAACATAAGACTGCAACCAACTGAGATAAGAGGATATCAAACTGGGAGTTGGCTCAAACTGCCTCTGGGCCTAATTCCTTCCTTGCCTCTCTCTGCTTCTATGTATCTTACTGTACTAGTCAATATCCTGAGATTTGCTCAGAGATGTTGAGCTACTCTCTGATGACATAAGCCAGTTGACAAAACATCAACAATGTGTTAATGGGCTGGAATATCGATTCCTCTAATTTATTGACCAGATTTAATCAATGCAGAAACAGAAATATCAACTTCATGTAAATATGGCTATTGTGCACAACCTGATCAGATAGTGAGATTGGTGAGAATAGTACAAGTTGAATTCTTAAAAGGCAAAAGAGATTTAATAACTTGCAGGTGCTTCATGTGCAAAATATGAGCTGTAAGCAACTAAAGTAGTAACAACAACAACAAATTGCATTTATCCAGCGCCTTTCCCAAGGTGCCGGACAGTCGAGTCGGGGGTTGGAGGGGGTGAGGGGGAAGATGCACAGTCAAGGAAGCTCTTGGGATGGACCTCGAAGGAGGCGAGGGAAGGGGCAAGACAAACAGACTTCCAGAGATTGGGCACAATGGCTGAAAGTAATAAGGAAAGTAATAAAGAAAATTTGGACAGACATTGAACTCGTGAAATGTTTAAATACTCAGCAATACATACTTCTTGACATTTAGACTTTTGTTTTAGAAAAAGCACATTCAGATGTGGATTTGCTTACCTTAGAAGATAATTGACCCAGATGACATTCTTCTCATTAGCATTTTTTCCATTGATGGCAATAGTAGCACAGGACTGGATCCAAATATAACCTCCACTTTTCTGTAGCCAGCGATAGTACTTAGTTACACATTGGCCCTTATTTATTACTAAACAAAAGAGATCAATTTCTATTAACATGAGCAGTGATGTATAAGGAACAATTACAGTTATCTATGTTATACCAAGCATGTTATTTCCCAGCCCATGGACCTGCTCATGTCTGAGACAGTGAACTGGTGATCTGCTTCTACGTGTCTGCCAGGCTCAAGCAGAACTCTACGACATGCACAGGAGCAGTGCTCAGTGACTTGCCATTTGATATGCCTTCATTCTATGTAAGAAAGAGCAAACCCTCCACTCAGCAGTTCTTTGATAACAAGTCTGAGGTCAGCAACTTGCCAAACCATTACCCTCAGATATCTCATGGCAGCTGGACAACAGGGCATACGTTCTAGGATAGGAAGGGTAAAATTAAGGACAAACACTAGGAAGTGCTTTTCTCCAAAGTGGGTGGTTGTCAGGAAGGGCAGTGGAAGCCAGGTCTCTGGACTTCACATAGCTTAATGTGGTAATGAATATTGGTAGAGTGGGTATTGTGGAAGGGCCTTTATCATCTATATTTCTCTTGTGATCTAATCGGAGACCGAGTCTGCATCCTTCCACTCTACACCATAATGTGTCAGAGCATCAACCGAAGAACACTGAGCAGCTTAACCGCAAAGAAATTTTACTATTTCTAATCCTATAACTACATGTTGTACGAATACATTGATAAATGTTTAACCATTAAGCTTTCATCTGTAATCTTTAGTGTGTTTAATAGTAACCAGATGCAGTTTGGCACTGGTTTACAAGGACCGGTTGTACATTGCTAGAGAAATTGACCTTAAATGCACTTTTTGATGGCTTCTGTCATGTTGCTAAATGTACTTAAGCAGCATTTAATGTGAGAAGTCTTCCTAGAAGAAAGCTACAATCCATTTAAAGCACTCATTGCAGATTTTCACAAAGGTTCTCCTTGCAGACCTTGACCACAAGAGGGGGTGTATTTATCTCACTTGCTTATCACTCCAGAAGCTTGGTGCAATGTACAACTACTGCTAAAATGCAAAAAAAACATCTAATTACAGTAATAAATCTGAACATTTTAGCTGTAAAATGGTTTTGTCAACTGATACATATTTCCATTAATCATTTGCATCCATAAACTAGAACAAGATGGAGTGTTTCAGAACAGCATATTTCATTTGTCAGTACGTTCAATCTGTCTGTTTAATTGAAGCTAATAAGTGTTAAATGTATAACTACTGCAGAGACTTTCAAACTCATCTTTGGTAATGATTTTCAAGAAAACAATTTGGTTAATCCTCTGTATTGCGGGTCAATAAAATAATGTATTAGCTACACACAGCTACAGCAATAACTGAGCGTTACACAATACTGTTTTTCGCAAGCAAGACATGCCTTAGAAATAAATTATTTTCCACATTCTCAGTAAATTAAGTATACATTCGTACTTACTGTTCTATATGCAGTTTCATGTCCCAGTGGCTAATTTTTAACATGCTAGCAAAACATCTTGTAGATTGCAATTTTAAGCACAACCAATCAAAACAGAATTCTAACAGCTTTAAGCTCATATCCAGTCTCTGCACCATTTATATTTCATGTGAACACTGCCAATAAAATGTTGCTCTTGGTGTAAGGCTACAAAAAATGCACCTACAGTAATTGTCTTAAAGGGCTAATCCAGGCTCAGGACTCAGATATCTACATTCCTTAACACAATGAAAGGTACATAGCCTTCCATTCAATTCCAAACTTTATTATATTTAGATATTTTTGTTTCTATGCAGAAAACCTTCCACTAGTGCAGACATTTCGAAAAATCACCATGCTATTTTCCCTGGATTCATGAAGGTCTGCTACAATATTTCTTACAACTTCAAAACAATAATTATAGATCATTATATAACACCTTTCAGGTTGGGAGCTTTACAAAGACTAAGTGGGTGGGAGTTTAAGCATAAGATGGGTATGGGGGGGTGGGGAGGGAAGGTAGCCGAATTGGTAAAGAGATAGATCTTTAAATTGGTTTTGAAAGTATCTTGGAAAATGAGTAGAGTTCCTACCAATATCACTCCATTTTTCAAAAGAGTTTGTGCAACAGGGAATGAAAAGAGGTATATGGGGAAACGGTGGAGAATTAGGATTGGGAGGCCAAATGATCTCTTTCTGTGCTGTAATTTCTATGATTCAATAATTTTCCTATAGATCACAAAGGCTGTCACGTTGTCAGTGACATCAGAATTCAACAACAAGAATAACAACAGCTTGGATTTATATAGCGCCCTCCACGCCGGACGGCGTCTCAGAGCGCTTTACAGTTTCGGATCCCGGGACGGAGCCAGGGCGAGGGGGGGTAGGTGACCAAAGGCGCGGTTGAAAAGAAAGCTCTTCAGGAGAGACCTGAAAATGGGAAGGGAGGGAGCGAGACGAAGGGAGTGAGGAAGGCAGTTCAGAGCCTCGGGGCATAGTGGCTGAAGGCACGGCCGCCGAGGATGGAGCGGAGGACTCGGGGCAACGGGTACTGTGCTGAGGAGAGAGGAGGTCAGAGAGGTTAGGGGGTGCAGAGGAGTGCAGGGACTTGAATACAAGGGTGAGGATCTTGAAATCGAACCTCTCTGGGATAGGCAGCCAGTGCAGTCTGGCGAGGCCTGGGGTGATCAGGGAGCGGAGTTTCATGCGGGTGAGAATGCAAGTGGCAGAGTTCTAAATGAGTTGGATTTTATGGATGGTAGTGAATGGGAGACTGGCGAGGAGGGCATTTGAATAGTCCAGCTGAGAGGTGACAAAGGCATGGACCAGAGTTTCAGCAGCTTTTGGTATTGGCGGAGATGGGCGATGCGTCGGAGGTGGAAGAAAGCGGTGCTGGTGAGGGACCGGATGTGGGGGAGGAAGGATAATTGGGGGTCAAACCTGATGCCTAGGTTGCGTACGGGTTCGGAGAGTTTTAGGGGGAGGTTGGGTAGGTGGAGGATGTGAGAACCGTGAGATTTTAGACGTTGATAAGAGCCGAAGAGTATGGCTTCCGTCTTGTCAACATTCAGCTGAAGTAAGTTTGCACTCATCCAGCCCCTGAGATCTGACAGGCAGGCTGACAGAATATCAGGGGACTAGGGGTCACAAAGAGAGGTGGAAAAGTAGAGTTGGGTGTCATCTGCATACTTGTGGAAATGTACCCCATATCTGCGGATGACATCCCCAAGAGGGAGCATGTAGATCAGAAAGAGGAGGGGGCCAAGGATGGATCCTTGGGGTACCCCGCAGGTGACCTGGTGAGAGCGGGAGGAGAAGTTGTTTAGGCAGATGTACTGCTGGCGATTTGTGAGGTAGGACTCGAACCAGGCGAATGCGGTCCCACTGAGGTGGATGACAGAGGAAAGGCAGTGGAGGAAGATGGCGTGATCGACTGTGTCGAACGGGGCAGAGAGGTCCAGGAGGACAAGGAGGCAGAGGGAGCCCTGGTCACAGATAGAGAGAATGCCATTTGTGACTTTCACAAGCGCAGTCTCTGTACTGTGGGCAGGGCGGAAACCGGACCGGAGGGGTTCGAAGAGGGAGTGGGAGGAGAGGTGTGCGCAAAGTTGGTTTCAAGGCAGAGAAGTTTGGGCTGTACAGCAAGTTTGCTATTAAATTTGGTGGATCAAGATGCAGAAGAACTCTATTAAAATGTAGTGCTTCAGGTCCATAAACCCAAACCTCATATTACAATGGGGCACAAAGCCGAAACAGTTATTGCAACATCATTTAGTGTGGGCTGCGTGCAGAGGTGTGACTGATATAATTTCCTGAAACACTGATGTTACCTCCTGTGCGGGCTTCCTACTTGTGCTAGGAAATGCAGGAAGTGATGACACTGACCTGGGAAACTGGAAGTTAATAATAATAATATAATAATCCTTGCATTTTATACAGTGCCTTATCACATCTTCAAGACGCTTCAAAAGTGCTTCACAGAATATACTGCAAAGTAAATTGACTGTATATTCTGTGAGCGAAACACGGCAGCCAATTGTACACACCAGTGTCCAACAAACAGTCATGGATTGAGTGACCAAATTATTTATTTATTTATTGAAAGGATTATTACCCCCGGAAAAGGCATCACCAATCGACTAACAACTGGGTTCCTACTTACTCCTAGGTAAACAGAGGCGTGTGGAGTAAGGAAACATGCCCAGTGTTTTGCCCTACCTGGAATCGAACCCGGGTCCTCTCGTTTGTGAGGTGAGTGCTCAAACCACTAGTAAATTAGTAAGTTGACCAGTACATGGGAAGCTGGCCAGCCTGCATGCGTAAACTAACATAGGGCCTTAGAAGCAAGCCTGCACTTTATTACAGGATTCTACATTGGTTATGTCTACATTATGACACATTGTAATACTGATCTATAATTGCATTGTTAAAAGTGCGCCCACATGTTAGTAAACACCAGATGCGCAGGGACTGCGATCTATCCGTCTAAATTTGTGTTTGTATCCCTTCAGAATCCATTTCCCTGCAATGTGTTCAGAATGAAAATGATGATTAAAAGCTTTGTGCATGTGCTTGACACCATACCTGTGGGTAGCATTAATTACAATCCAAATTCAAGCAATCATTGGAACTACAGTGCAAAAACTATTTTCCAGTCATAGAACAAGTCAAAAAGGTTTGTAAATTGAAGAACACTGTTTGCTGGGTTACTGCTCACTGAAGCTTGTTAATATTTTCCGTGGCCATTTGTTATTCAAGTTAACAAGAACCACATTGTATTGTGCATGGCATTTCTTTAACCTTTACAATATTGTTGAACCATGTCTTCCATCTGAGAGATGCAACACTAAGTTGCAGGCTCTTCCCATAAATGCTGAGTTATTTTCTCTTCTTCAGCTGCAGGTCCTGAGTGCCAGGCAAAGGGTGACCTTCTTTCCAGATACTGCTTAAGCTGCTCTTCAGCCAGTAGCTATGACCTACATGAGGGTAGAGAAGCTCACCTGCCCTTCCTTATGTCTGCAGTAACTCTGCTTGGCACTTCTCTGCCCATCCCCCACTCGGCTTCCTCATCCTCATCCATCCCTTCACAAAAACCGGGCACATGTCCACATATGCTACGTACAAATACTCAGCCACATTCAATGCAACAAAATGCTGAAGCACTGGGCTGCCTCCCTCAATTACACATTTCTTTACAACCATTCATATCACCGGTGTGTGTGAGATTAAGTGAAACGATCATGAGCACCTTTCACGAGCCGTGAGCAAATTTGGGGAATTATTTGAAAAATTATATTGAATGTTTGCTTCCCCATCCTTTAGGATCACAAAGTCTCATGGTCCTCTCACCATTTCAAGGAGACAACCTGTTCCCCGGCATCTCCCAACAGCTTTAATACAGTTCAACCTTTTTTTCCTTTCACAGTGCAGCTCCCAACTCTGCTTAGTGCATCCTCCAAGGCTAGGGAAGGTTTGGATTCACAGTGTTGGAGCCAAACATGTTGGTGCACTGATGTTAAATCCAGCAGTGTTATTGCAGTTCTTTCAATCAATCCCAACCTCCATATACAAATGTGTTGCATCTTTTCTAACTGTTACCTGCTGTGAATTTGGACCAATAGAAATGTCTCTTTTCAACCAACCATCTTTGTTACACACTTGTGCACAAAGGTAAATGCTCTTTGAAAGCTTAGCTTGAAGGCATTACTATAGTTACTCATATACTCACAATCCAAGTGACAGTGCCTGATCCCTTCTACATCTTCAGCATGAATGAACTGATAACATCTTTTGCCCACAATGTCGACAGGAGTTAGGTCCATGTAGTCACTTATCCTACAAGTGGTAGAAGTATAAAACAATAAATGAATCAATAGTAAGACATAAAAAAAACCTTATATAATACATCAAATCGTTTGGAAATACAATGACTATAAATGAAACATTTACACCAAAACTCTGAACTTTACAAATGGAAATGTTCAAATGTCTAAACAGATTTAATAGTGAAGGATTATTTCTACTGCTGGTGGATCAATAACAAGTGGCATAAACTGAAAACTATTACTAGAAGCATAAAGGGAACTACAACAACAATAACAATTTATATTCATGTAGCACCTGTGACATCGGGAGGATGTCTCAAAGCACTTCACACAACTGGGAGCATAGGTATTGAGGTGGGTTTTGAAGGAGGAAAGGGAAAGTTTTGAAGTTGGGAAGGGAGAGAGCAAGGGCTACAGAATTGTGGGTCATCGGAAATTTGAGTTGGAAGTAGCTTGGGAATTCAGCGAGCAAGGCGTTGGAGTAAAAGGGAGCGGTGAGAAGAAATGTTTTACAGAATGGATTATTGTGTGATCTGATTGAAGTTTTTAAATTAATAAAGGGATTTGATAGGGTAGATACAGAGAAACTATTTCCTCTGGTGGGGGAATCCAGAACAATGCAGCATAATCTTATAATTATGGAGTCCTGTAGCTCAGTGGTTAGAGCACTCGCTTTGCAAGCGAGAGACCTGAGTTGAATTCCAGGCAGGGCGAAACCTTGGGCAAGTTTCCTTACTCCACACGCCTAACAATAATCCCTCCAAAACCAATAATAAAAATTGGTCATTTTCAATCTACGCCTGTTTGTGGGACACTGCTGTGCGCAATTGGCTGCCGCGTTCGCCCACAAATATACAGTCAATTCACTTTGCAGTGTGTTCTGTGAAGTGCTTTGGGATGTCCTCCCGACGTGAAAAGCGCGATATCAAATGCAAGGATTACTTAGGATTATTTAATTAGAGTTAGGCCATTTAGGAGTTATATTAGGAGGCAGTTTTTCACCCAAAGAGTAGTAGAAATCTGGAACCCTCTTCCCCTATGGATGCTGGATCCATTCACATCTTCAAAACTGAGGGGGATAGATATTTGTTAGCTCAGGGTATCAAGGGGTACGGGGCAAGGGCAGATAATTGGAGTTGAGGTACAGATCAGCCATGATCTTATAGACTGGTGGAACAGGCTCGAGGGCTGAATGTTTCTATTAGCATACAGAACATGTTTATATGAGAATGTAAAGTCCACTTACCGGTTTTCACAGTAAACAATATTGAGGTCCAAATTTACTTTGGTGACAAACATTTGGCAGTCAATCCTGACTTCATTAATAGTTGGAGGAGGCAGAGCATGAGCCATAACTACAAGTCCCATGATCTGTGTAGGCAGCACACGTCCGTGAGAAAGAGAAACTCTCAAGCGCATCCGTCCAGTTATATGAATTACCTGAAATAGAATGACAAGGTCAGAGATGTACATTTTAGCAATCTACCAGCTCATCACCGTTCACCAGTGCAGTTATTTTAAATGCATTACTTGATGGAAAAGGGCAAAATAAATTTATTTTCTTGTAACGAATAAACAATATGAAAACTATTCCTATTGCAAGAGTAAATGTTTAGGGATTTGTTGTCAATAATTCCAGGCACAGTTGTAATAGATTTATATGAGGTAAGAATGAGAAAATACTTTTCAGTCATCTATTTCATTCCATTTTGTAGCTGCACGTGTAGGGCCTGTATGCATCACTTACATAATGAACAATAAGCCCTTATTCCACTCCTCCCTGTTGAATTAGGAAGCTGTCTGTTTTCATTTTGAATGCTTTAACTGTCTGCATTGACTGAACTTATGTCCTTTAGATTCTGAGGGTGCAACACATGCTCAGCTCAAAATGAAATAAAAAGATTTGCATCTGCAAATTCAATCAAAACTAACAACTACTGTACTAAAATATACTGTGTGTAATACATTTCTTAGTCGATCTACTTCTCAACAAATTCCTAATAATACAATTGTGTGATATAGGAGATGAGAATAGCAATGGTAGCAACGAATCTTGTACTGCCACATTGTCGTATCACTATCACTTTATTACCATTTTAAGTCAGGCAGTCCTCTGTAATACGATAATGAGTAACAGATCTCTGGCAGTGAATTAAAGTCATTAATTCTGTGAATGCAATTGAATCATTAAACTTTGATCTCCTCAATGCCCTTCAATGGATCAATTACAAAGTTATTTCTTCCAATTCCTCAACGATACCGTTGCTTCATGTTTCTCATAAGTCTGATTAACACCTACGACCTCTTACCTGTGAAGGCTCCATTCTTAATCCCCCTTCATCTATCGATAATGGGCCTCACTATCTGATCGCCAATAAAATTCTCACATTTCCTCCATGCAGCTCGGTTTCATCTTTTTTGCTGAACATTTCTTTCCCCTCAATAACTCTTAACTCACTTTGCAGCCCATGTTTTCTGAGCTAGCACAGACACAATGAGCCGAATGGCCTTCTTATGTGTTATAAGTTTCTATGGTTCGACTATCGTCAGTGCTTTTCTTGTCCATCCTAAACTCAGAATGTTATCTTGCATGTTGTTCATCCTCACTAACCCTGGTTCACGCCTTTGTCACCTCAAGGCTGGACTATGGGAACTCTCTCCTCGCCGGCCTTCCCGCCACCTCCCTCCACAAGCTGCAGGTCATTCAGAACTCTGCAGCTCGTGTACTGTCCCGCACAAGGCTTCGCGATCACATCACTCCCACCCTCGCTCGCCTCCACTGGCTCCCCATCCCCCAGAGGACTGATTTCAAGATCCTCATCCTCACCTACAAGGCCATTCACGGCCTTGCTCCCTCCTACCTCTCCAACCTACTATCCCCCTACCTACCTGCCCGTACCCTCCGTTCCTCTGGCTCCGGTCTGCTCCACGTCCCCCGCCCCAACCGCCCTACTATCGGTGGTCGGGCCTTCAGCCTCTCAGTCCCTAGGCTCTGGAACTCCATCCCCCAGTGCCTTCGCCTTGCCTCCTCCCTTTCCTCCTTCAAGGCCGGTCTCAAAACCTTTCTCTTTGACCGTGCCTTCAGCTCCCCTCTCGACTCTCTTCCTCCTCCTCGCTCCCTCCCTTCCCTCCCCTCACCCTGACCATTTCCCCCCTCCTCTCTCCCTCCCTTCCCTCCCCTCACCCTGACCATTTCCCCCCTGCTCGGGTCATGACCCAACTGTGCAGCGCCTTGGGACGTCCTCCTGACGTGAAAGGCGCTCTATAAATGGAATCTTGTTGTTGTTGTTGTTGTTGTATATCAAAACTCATCACACTGTTGCTTATTTTAACTTCACTGGATCTCAACTCCTTACTTCACTCAGACATGCCTTCCTCCTACAATTTATAGACATTTGACACTCAAGAATAATGTAACCTAACCACTTGTTCTTTCAATTCTCCTGTGGTTCAAAATACTTAACTGTGGGACTTAACCCTTGACATGCATCATATTTATAATGAAAAGTGATCCTGCTGTTTTATTGTCATAAACCATTATTTTCCAGTTTAAGACATCAGCAACACTACGCAATTGAATTACGGTCTTGAGATTAACTGGCAGTCATCTATTATCCTATATTTATTTTCTGTTACTTATGCAAAGACAATAAACATAAATATTATTTGTTTAACAAAAAGTGTCATTTCTTTATTACAATGTATGGTTTAAAACATTTCTGGTTCACTTTTTATTGAAGTAAAAACTGTTAAATATTCTTCCCTTAGTTGTCATTGTCATTTCCTTGTTTTTTTTCTCTCCATTTTCTCCTCGCCTCTCTTAAAGGTGCTAACTCTTGCTGAAGTTTAATTCCACAAGTGAGCTAAATATGTTTGGGTCTATGCATGTGTAAGAGCGAGAGTTTGCCACATGTGAGTGTTTCCTGGGCCGGGATAAACATGTGTTGGTGGTATGAATGTGAGAATATACACATCTATGTCTGCTTGTGTGTATTTAGTGCAGGTTGTATTAATTAATGACTCATCTAATTGACACATGCGGTTGTGTTTTTTTAAAATCTCTATAGTTTTTTACTTTTGTAGATCTGTGGCAGCTTTCTGAACATCTGAATTGTTTAAGGAATGCAGAAGAGCTGATCTCCAATCTGAAATATGTTAGGAGCGTTCAAGAGACTTGAGCGAGTTGATGGTGTGTTTACAAACCTGAATAGAGTGAGAGCAGAGATTTTTTTCAACCGTTTTACGTACTCAACAAAAACACATTCATCGAAGTAAAATCAGCTTTATTACCAAGCCTCCAGCTCTCGTGTGTAATGCTACAGAATATAGGGACACTTATGAGAAGCTCTATAAAACTCCATTAACTGGTTTGTGCAGACTTTGAAGGAGTATTGTTCTCAGCCACCTTCAAGAACCTGATTCAAAATAGCAGCTACTGATTACGTGCATTGCTAGGAAATACAAACTTCACTTTAAATTGATTTGGATTAATATAATATTAATAGAAGCACACTGACTGGTTGGCTGAACAGCCAAGAAATGCAGCAATAGCAAAACTAGCTGTAGCATTTCAGACTCAAATTGAGTTTGTATATTTTATGCTACTCAATTTTCAAAAATCAACATTTCAAAAAATGATTTGAAATTAAAATTCAGTGTAGAATTGATCTTAAGACAACTTTTTGAAGTAATTCAGTGCAGAGATGAGCCTTATATGCATTGCTTCAAGACTGCTCTTGGCAAAAACATCACAAGTGACAGAAAAACTTGAATATGCCTGAACAGCTAAATACAAACTGACATCAGAAACCCACGTGAGGCAATGAATAGTAAAGGAAGAATATCTCAATTTAATAGAAGCCTACATACAAAGGGATCAATTTTTATAATTCATGGTTCAGCACACAATATCGTTCTTCTCAGAGTGAATATTGAGTAGACATACATAAGAAATAAGAATTATCAATTCCTAGGGAATCTCCAGAGTGCTTTTGATATGTGATACTGCCAACATAATGACTGAAAACTTACATCAGTGCATTAAATAAGATCAAGTTGAGATCCAGTTACAAAGGCAGGCTTAAGCTAGTAAAAGAATCTCTTTGATATGAACCCCAGAGTAAAATGCTTGTGTAAGCATTTACCCAGGATAATCTGATTTCATCTTGCACGGATGCAAGTGTGTTCCTCAGTGTCACTTTTGTAAATGTCAAACCCACAATGCATTTTTCTCTCAGGGTTGATCAAAGTTAGAAGTTTAGTAGAAACTTGCCTGGGTGCACTAAGCTTCATCTGATTGCTAGACCACCATCTTTGCTTGGAAAGAAGGACACCTTTTACTGTCCTTGAACATATTCAAGACTGAGATTGATAGATTTCTTGTAGATAAAGGGATTAAGGAATATGGGGATAAGGAGGGTAGGTGGAGTTAGAATAGATCGGCCATCATCTCACTGAATGGAGGGGCAGGCTAGAGGGGCAGAATGGCCTACTCCTGCTCCTAATTCTTATATTCTTATGTCATTCATTATCTCACAATACTATTGGCTTATTGGGGGAGAAATACAGTTAAAAAAGTCCCATAAAACAAAATAAATGAGGCGTCTTTCGGATGAGACATTAAAACCGAGATCCTATCTGCCTGTTCAGGTGGACGTTGAAGATCCCATGGCATTATTCGAAAAGAGAAGAGGGTTCTCCCAGTGTCTACCACCAAAGTTGGTAACTTTACCAAGTGTAGGCTGGAGAGGAGAAGCCTCTAATTTAAAGAGAAATGCAAAATAATAAAACTGAAACACTTTTTGACAGTTCTTCCCAAATATTACAACATTAAGTCCTTGTGGGAGAGCTAATAACATTAGTTATTAGAATGTTATGCGTGTACAGCAATGGTGGCCTTTACATAACCCTATTTTCAATAGCATCTGTCAAGATCAAGGTTGATTATGTCAATGTATTCATGACTGATCAGGAAAGAGATGCTGGTGAATACCTTGGATCCTGATAAATGAACTGGGTGAGACAATACTGTATCGCATGGGATCTCTTCCAAAATGGGAATATCTGGGAAATGCCATCTGAGTTTTGACACTAAAAAAATTCAAGGCACACAATCTCCTAGGAAGGTTAGCATATTTCTATTGCTTATTGGTTTAGGAAAGGAAACCTTCAAAATCCTCATTAAAAATAATTGAGTTATATGATATAAGTGATACTTAAAGATTTTCAAGCCTTTATGGCAGGTATCATCATTCATAAAGCTATTATCCCAAACCTGCTTTTATTTAATGACTGAAAGCCTATTGATGAATGCTAATATCATTGTGTGTACACATTCCTTCCTTCACAGAATAGGGTATATACCTACAAATTTACACAGAATAATTTCTTTTCCTCCACAATCCCAGATGTAATGCAACTTTACCAATTGCGTGTTTATC